TCAGAAATTTGACACACCCCTGGTTGCGATGTTTTTTCAGTGTCGCTCCGTTTTTAAAAGTTATCAGGGGGTTCATGTTTTCTACGATTGACACTTGATACAGCCTATGGGCGTACGAAGATTGCGTAGCTCACCCGGGGGATACGCTGTTTGAGCTGAGCGTCATCACAGCGACTCTCGGTGACTCTTCCGCCGAAATCGCACAATGCTACTGCACGATGTTGGCTTCAGGAAGTGGAGAAAAAATGGGAACTTACCGAGAGCTTTTTGGCTTCAAATCCATATACTAGTGGAAGGCGGAAAAAAGTTGTCCATGGTTTACCCAGTCTATAAGCCAGACTCAAGTGGCCACTCAAGGAACTGCAGTTATTTGCCCCTCAGCCCTGGATGCAGCAGTTCGACTGTAAAAATCGGATTTAACCGCCCCGTTCTTTACACTTCTATTATCTTTATGTTGGGTTTTATTGCTGACACACTCCCACTGTGGATTCCCTCTCCCCTGAGGTGCACGGCTGCAGAAACAGCTTGACTCCGGGTGCATAAATAATTCACATCCATATCTCTTTAGAGCGCGAGCCGGGCCGAGTGGTTCTGCCTGTGATTTGCTGCAGCGGACACAGAGGCTGCTCATATCTGTGGAAGTGTTAAAGTGAGTAATGCTTGTAGCTGCATCAGGACACCGCGGAGCATTAGTGACGGATGACTGCCTGTGCTGCATTAAAAGCTATCAGCGGGGGCCGATTGCTGGGGGCTCCAATTTTCAGAAATGAAAATGCAACATGGTGGAAAACCCACAGAAGTCGATGTTGAGCTTTGGATGATACTGAAGTTTACATTTTTCTCAGACTGAGCAGCTTAGTGGCCGCTGGGATCCATTTCTTTGTCAGGTCTTGGTCATATTTTTCTACCTGGTTAATTTGACACCATCTAAAATGAAACAAAAGCACGAGAAACTCTCTTATCTTACTTCCCACTCTGTGCTCTGTATTGCATATGCTGTTTTACTGGATTTGGCTCCTTGTCAGTTGAAAAAAAAAATCACCTAAAGCCCGAAGACAAGATACAGACGATTTTGGAATCACAACGCTTGCAGTAACAGCTGCGATAAAAGCTGTGAAACTTTATGTTCGAGTTACTGCGACAATAAAAAGATCTTACTTAGAGTTAATGGGAAAGGAGCGAGTCAATGCTGCACCATGATTCATCAGACTAATAAGAGGGGTGTGCTGTTTGGGTTTGCTGCATAATGATGCAGAACAGTGGAGGGAAAAAGGACACCTTTATTGGCTCTACATCTTCAAAATCTGGTTTTGTGCTCTAATTATGATGAATTAACTTGTCTGATGCAGACATAACCTCAGCGGTGTTGGATCTCAACCCTCGCTGTCCGCTCATTTCCTGATGCTATTCATGTAAGTCGGGAGCATTGCCGGGATTCACAGGTGCGTCATCACCTTCACTTTATTTAGAGCCAATGTTCTGTGTTAAATATAAAGCGAGGGCCCAAACGAGTCAGATTCTTCGGTGAGTGGCGTGACGCGGCCGGCGCTTTCCATGATGCAGCAGAAACTGTCAGAGCCACGGAGACCAACAGCCGCTGCTGGACGGACCTCATGCCAGATTAACAATGTAGGAGAACCAGTAGAGTCTTGGCTGGTATTTTGTCACTTCCTTTGGTGGTAGCGTAAGATTTCTTAGAATCGACTCCCTCAAAATCATCCTCAAAAGGTGGTCAGCCAACCAGCTCTTCCAGTAAAACCATTAAAATGGAGTAGCTGTGTTTCAAGTATGCAGCCCTCAAAGTACTTTTGCAACACAAGTTAGGATCTTGTGGGTGCAAGACAACTATCTTGGAAAGTTAAGTAATCGTCGTGTTCGAAGATACAGGCTTGTGTATCTCTTTTTTTCAATCTTTAGCCAAGCTAAGCTAACCACCTTCTGAACAAAGCTTCATCAAGTTGTCCAGGTGGTTTCAGTCCATCTGTGTCCGTTGAAAATAAAGTTTAAACTGCTCGTATACTAGGGTGACCTAAAAAGAGGACATGACTACGCTGGGGCGGAGTCACAGAGTCGTGTGTAGTTAATTTTGAGAGTTTTTCGGGTCGGATTGAGTGTTTTTTTATGCGCTTCTAACTCACTAAGTCCACGCGACACGAACTCAAAACTTCTACACAAAACCCCGGACATTTGAAGGGTTTTATAAGAGGATATGTCTGCGTAAAAGAAGACGTATGGTCACCCTATGGCAGTGGTTCTAAAATGATGGATCCTAAACCAAAAGAGGGTTGCGGACACGTTCTGGATGGGTCACAAACAGCTGGTCAAAAAAGTAAATATTTAATGCGCTATTTATTAGATAATCGATGTGCTCTGGAATGTACTTTACTCTATAAAACAAGTGGATTTGACTTTGATTGGGACCATGGGAAAATGTGAGTCCCAGAGTGAGACCGGTTGAGGACCACTGCCCCAAGTTTCGGCGAATCAAAGCCGATCCTGTCCTCCATGGGTACAGCTCACTTTGTGGATGTATATTATGTAAAAGAAATCTTTACAGATCTCCCTGTCATGCCAACCTCCACATGAACCGGCTCACATCTCGCTGCTATTTCTGCTTTGTGATCCCACCAGGGCATCGCCTTTGGTTGTGAAATTCTCGGCATATGTAACATGATTGGATAAAGCGACACAGGTGGCTGCAGGACGCTAAAAATGCACTGCAGAGAAAAAAAAAAGATAAAATAAAACAGCCCGAGGAGCCGTGCTGCAGGTGCCCCCCTTCCAACTCCGGCCTCCATTGTTGCCCCTCTGTGTGTTTTCCGTCGCTACAGAAACAGACCCCGGGCTTAACACGGCTCTGTGACTCCTGCATACGCTAAATGACAGGGTCAATTATCAGGCTATTTTCTGATGACCCACTAACATTTCGACTGCTGCCTCTTATTTAAGAGGAGCCCGGCATGTTAAGAGCACACAGGAACCGGGGAGGGAAAGGACAAGAGCGTAACAGCAGTGAGAAATGTCAGCGTCGCAGGGTATGACAGGTAATTTACTCGCTTTAGTTCCGACAATGACAACGCAGAGTTGGAAAATGTCCGAGAGCGGCGTGAGTTTTATAGAGTGGGATTGCGTTTGGCAGGAGGGCGACTGGGATGAGGCCCAGGGCTCGACAGCGTGGTGTCGGTGAGGGTGAAAGAGGGTGCGTTCCACCCATCTGCCAGGATGACTCATAGGCCGTGCAGGGGGGCCAAAGCCACAGTCCTGCCTCACAGTTTGGTGTCCAAGTGAGGAGGATAAACTGCGGTCTCAGACGGTGTGTCCTGAGCTTTTATTTCAAAACAACCTCCAATTTTTCTCTTCGGCTATTCCCGTCAAAATCAGAGACATCCAAGCAGAAAATCTCCCACACCCACTTTTGTCAATCACACAAAAAAACGCATGAAGGTGGGAAACTCTTCACTGATGACTCACACCGACAATGCAAACTTCCCTGTAGGGGAACAAAAGTGCAACGCTGCTTAAAGAAGTGAAGCGGCGCGGACTTTGTGAACAACAAAAACATGAGTCAGCTCAAAGAGGAATGTTGTTTTGCAGCTTGGAAGGAGCACAGTCACTGAATATTAACAAAGGCAGGGAAGGAGGCAGGGAACTGCACTATCATCGTCTGCGCTTTCAGATCGGGGTTACCTGGGGATAGATGGTATCTCTTGTGGTTTACAGCGAAGCTCAGGCCAAAGCATTGTCACATGGAGTCTGGTGGGAAGTCACATTTGGTGCTTTGTTGTCTTTTCCTCTGTGGTGTGGTTTATTTTGGACTGATTGGATTTTTTTAGCCTGTTTCAGATACTCTTGTTGGTTTCACCACTTTCCAATAAAGCGTCCCAGTCTCAGTCAGTCTGGATCCTCTTTAAGAGTTTGTTGTTTTGGTTTCCTAGCCCACTAACTCCTTGTTAAGGCGACTCTAATGGGTTTCATATTGAAATTTACAGACACAACAGCATTGTTTCTCTTTTTCTTTAACAAGAAATTCAACCAGAGGACGATAAAGACGATTAAAGTTTAGTATCTTGTTGATGCTGCCCCCATGTGGCCATAAAAAAACTGCAAAATGCTGTTTGGACAGCCGTGAAAACGCAGACTTTCATGTAGAAATTCGTCTTCTATCACTCTGCATTTTTTGGTGGTTATTTCGTGATTATTTGTGATACTTGTAACCACCGATGAAGTCCAAAAACATGATAAAGAGAGGGACAGTCAGGCTGTTTTAGCGATTGGATTTGGACGGCATTAAAATCACAGACCAGCAGTCCAGGTAATCCTGAATCCCCCTGGAGAAATTCATACTCCGCGAGATAATGAGATCCTGGTCCCTGTTAATAGTGCGCTAACAGAACACCTCTGGACATTTCAGACACACTAACTCCAGTAATTGCTCATTACAAACAAATCACACCTTCCTGTTTGTTTGCAAACCAGAGATCCTGATTGATCTGCTGATGGGCATTATTCCCGAGGCCGCGGTGTCAGAAGGTCGATGCTCTAATTACTGCGCAGACATTTGACTTGTAAATAGCTGGTGGTGTGACTCACCAAAAAGCATATGGGGTGGGGGGGTTGCTTGGCAACTGCAGAGGGCAGAGCTGCAGGGACAGAAAGGTGTGAAGAGGCGAAGTTAAGCTGAGATTTAATTATCCTTTTGAATGTCTTTGACAGAGTGAAACAGGAAGCTGCGTCCATGGAGAGTCATTCCCCTGGATGGAGAAGTTTAAGTTCATGATATACGGCGGTAGAAAGTGGACTTAAGTCAACTTTTATTGGTGATCTAGGACCTGTGAAAGTATTTGAAGGTCCCCGGGCGTCCATATAGTGGTCTGTAATGGATGAAAAAGACTCACTTTGCAGTTTTAAATTCATAAAATAAACCATAAAAGACTGAACTCTTTCCCAAACACCCCAGAAGTCCTTTAATCTGATGTTGATCCTGCTGGCAGGTGGAGGACCTGCAGAAAGTGGCTTTGCTAGTTTGCTTCAGAGTCTCAGTGGACACCCGACTCAAAACAAATCTGCAGCGTCTCATTAAAAAGCCTGATGTCGTCAAAAACTGAGGTGGGTACTGCTGGGGGGGAAAGTCCCCTCGCTTCTTGCTAAATGAAACCCTGGCCTCTGGAGGATACGTGCATCAGACTACAGTACAGTTCCTCAACAGGACGTGCTCCAACACCTCCGGTTAAACTCCTCAGTTCTGCTGTGAGGGGGATTGGATGACCCCTAATTTTAGCGCGAGGTTCGTCGGCCACTGGACAGATTGGATTACGAGCAAAAAGAAGAGGACGCAGCAGTGATAAATTTGGGGCTTAGAGAATAAACACAGAGTTTCTCCGTTATTTAAAACCTTAAATTTACATTTATACCCTCTTGAGTTTGGACAGTCCAAGCAGGCACTCATGGATCTGATCCAGGGTGGCATATAGACACAAATAGACCCAGGAGAGGACAATGAATTAAAGAGCCGACCACCTGCGCCGAGGTTAACCTCTTCTCCAATAACTGCCCATCTAAAAACGACACCGACACGCTGCTAATTTCTGATAAATATACAGCTATCCTTTTTGGATTGTGTGATGACAGCTCAAAGTTGGTGACATATGGTACGAGATATTTCTGTCGGATCCTCACGCTGAATAGTAAGCCAAAAAAGCTACAAGCCTTGACGTCACCGATCGGGTTGTGGACGGCTATATTTGAGCCTTGAGTTGATCATACAGAGTGTGACCGACTTATTCTTTGGGAAACATTTCCCGGCTGCTGTTTCTGCTAGCCTCGTTGGCAAGTTGCATCGGCAATTACAGGGAGTAGCGTTTCTTGGAAGGTTATTTCTGGCCGACAGCCTCCCAAAAAGCAATAACAGCTGTTTTTCTGTACATGCTGTGTGCTATACTGGACATTTTTGTGTCTGTAACTGAACGCAGAGCTAGTCCAGGCAGGCCACAAAGTCACCTCTATGCATCTGACTGAAAATCGTTGGAATAGGCTCAACTTTAGCTCCTCCTTTAGACTCTGTCTGATTTTCCCACCTATACCCTAACCCTGTTTTCAACCTGGGGGTCTTTGCTGCTGTTCTCCCCGCCTCAGGCTTTGTCTTTCCACACCTGCACATGGAAGGACAGGGAGCTCTCAGGACAGAGCCACAGGAACTCTAAAGGACACTTTTTGCTACCCACTATCCCAAATCTTGTTGATACAGCAGCACAGACTCGGTCTACAAGCATGGCTCCATGCTGCATGAATTTCTGATTTTATAAAGTGGGAACATCTACCTGCTAAGTCAGAGGCAGCATGTGTTCGCACTGAGGGTAAAGTGGCAGCATGTGGAGCAGCTGAAGGATGCAGTGAGCCTGTAATCCTCTACTGTCAATCCTCTGTCTCTACACAGATGGATGGACAGACTGGGAATGCTTCAGCTGATGAATGAGTGAGTGGAGCCTGATGGGTTTGTTTTCCACACCTGACTCAAAGCCACTCAAGGAGCTTCCCTCTTACACGCTACACCCTTTATTTCCTTTCTTTACCGGGTGGTGTCGACTCTTAAGACTGCCAGCACAGGCAGAGCGACAGCCCGCTCGACAGCCGATGAACCCTCTGACTTTCTAATCTGCTAAAATCTCAAGAGTACGTTTTTGAGATCTTCTCTTCCAGGAAACGAACGAGAGACAACAACTAGAGAGTCATCTCAGACATCTAATGTCTGAACGTTACTGATCCAAGTATCCATTCAACATGCAGCAAAATGCAGAGAGACGGACTTGGAGAAATGCAACACGTGGAAATAAAGTCACAAAGAGTCCTGCTTTGAAAACAGCGTCATCTTTTGCAGACTTAAACCACATCTTTTTCAGCTCTCAGTGAATGTTTTACATCAGCTCTCAAACATCTCTGATGACCACCTTTGCATGCACCCAAAATAGAAGATTAAACGTCTGATTCAGTGTAAACAATAACAGAAAATAGATGATTTAATATGTGAAAGAGAAATACAGAATCACTCAGAGTCCATGAGTTCAAAACTAAAAAAGTGCTGCCCTCTGCTGGATGAACACCGCCAAGAAATCCAGTGGCGACAGATTTCATCTCAGTGCAGTTATAGACACAAATGCATGATGTTGTTATAAAAAACTGATTAAATGTGGAGAGTAGAAGCTTTTAATGAGAAATAAGGAAAGAAAATTGACTCATTTGTTGGTGTCAAACCAAAACTAAGTAAAACTAAATGTAACCTCAAACCAGCGTGGATAAGAAGTGACGCCATCATTTGTCAGTAGGTCTCTCCTCCGTGTTTTTAAATCAAACATCGTTCGGACCTGACACCTGTCTGGCTGATTTGGTGCGTCTCTGTTTGGGCATGTTTGGGCTGCAGCAGAGGGGATCGGGGTGTCAGGATGTTGGGGCTCGGAGGTGATTTGTCTTCTTCGCTGGTGGCCTTGTGCTGACAGTTAATTCCAGATATTCACACCTTCCTACCATCGGATCTGTCTGGATCTGCTCGGTCATGCTAGGCACACCGAGAGGGGGGGCTGGCAGAGGATGGAGCAGACTCAGAGGATCACATTTTAAATGATGGAAAGAGATCTAAGCGTTTTTAAAATGCTACCTAACCGGGGTGAAATTCAGACGGATAAGATGTGAAATGAGCTGCCTGAAACCAAAGTGGTCCAAAAATAATAATCAAAACACTCCCTTAGACCAGGTGAGTGGAATCGAGACGTGTTTACGATACACGTTTGTTTGTGCGCGTTAATAACTCCAGAGTTTTTGCTGCTGATGTAACAGGTATAGTTTTGTTTCAGATTGTTTGAGTTTAGAGTGAAATTCATGAGAAATTCAAAGCACAGAGTGAAAACTGTAGTATGGCCTTGAACCAGAAGGTAAAACTGTGATTTAAACCAAGTTATCATCTGCAGGTCATTGGGGAAACATTGAAGAGTGAACGGTAAGGCAAATTTACTATGTGTCCAATAGGTGGCACTATTACAGTGACACAAATGTTGATGTAGATCGTTTTAGTCTGTTATGACCATAGACTGTATACAGAATGGACGCCGTCTGCCTCCTCGCTGGGTGAAGCCACCCGGAGAACAGCACCCCCTGTTGACGGGCTGCAGTATAGGTCATAAATCCCGCCTCCTCCAGCAATCCAGATGGAGCTGTGGACAAACTTTAGAAATGAATTACACAGAATATACATTTTTCTCCCCCCTGGTTGTGATGTGGCTTCAAATCCGTATACTGGTGGAAGGCGGAACCAAGTTGTCCAAAGTATATACAGTCTATGGTAGTTACTGTCGGACTGACGAAGATTGCGTTGCTTACCTGGGGGATACGCTGTTTGAGCCGAGCGTCATCACAGCCACTGTCCCGCCGAATGTGTACAACGCTACTGCACAATGATGGTTTCAGGAAGTGGAGAAAAATTGCAGAAATAACGAGAGCTTTTCGGCTCAAATTCGTATACTGGCGGAAGGCGGAACCAAGCTGTCCATGGTATATACAGTCTATGGTGATGACCATCAAACGTGAGAAATTTAGTACAAATCAGGCATTTTATATGAAAGTTAGTTCTATGTATCCCTGTCACAGTCCATGATCAACAAATGGAATAACTTTTGAGAACTTTTCATCCTCATTGCTCACTTCACCATCTGTGGAGTTGATTCGATAAAAACTCTGGGGCACATTTGTTCAAATATGAACCCTGTAAACAACTAAAATCAGATATTCAACTCAAATTTCTAGACTGGAAATAACGATGGGTCCGAGGAGACTTTTTTACAGTTCTCGGCATGATGGTTGAACCCTGAGGGGAGAGCCTCAAATATGTAATCACTTTGGAAGAGGAAAGAACAAATTAATAATCCTGAGGTTTCCAAACAGAGGAGAAACATTTGGAGCTCAAAAGGATCGGATGTTGCCGATTGAACTGCTGGTAACCTCCAAAAAAAACCAGAGCCAGGATACCGCTTCGATTCTCCCGCCGTGCGAAGCGGTAAAGTCATGCCACAGTCTGACCCACAGCAGCCAGCCTCCCACTGAACCCCGTGACCCCTCTATGTTACATGAACGACATTAAAACCATCCAGCAGCTCCAGGCCAACTCAAACCCCATCAGCCCCGCAGCTTCTCCTCCTCATAATCACCTGCTCCAAAACAGACAAGGTTACAGTCTGATGACACTGGGTGTGGAGCACCTGCCAACGCAGGACAGTCAATACAGGATATTAGATGTATTCTGCATGTCTGGAGCATGTATGAGGCTGACATTAGGCCAAGCTATACATAGAGGTATGTTCATAGAGCTACAGTAAGGGAGTGAGGTTCGGTGCATGTGCGTCATGATCTGTTGCATCAGAAATGCCTGACAGTCACTGTTTTCCTCTGATGAATGCTCAAATGTGATTTTAAGCTTCTATAAAGGTATTTTCAAGTCTTTTAATCATCCTGAGGAAAATATTTACCTTCAAGAAGTTATTTTAATTTCTTTTATTGCTCCCACTTCACATGTAACGGCTATTTTAGAGCTGTTTTACGAGTCCTGCGCCCAAGAGCCTTCAAAGTTCAAATCCACCGCAGCATCTTGGCGCCCTCTGGTGCAAACCTGCGTTCCTTTTTGCTCCTTGTGCAGGAGAGTGTAACTCTCAGATTGACAAGAAATAGACATTCAGTACGAGTGGGGATCTGCTCTGTAGATTCAGAGCTTTTCAAGCCTCCTTCTCTATCTGGAAGGTTTTGCATGCGAGACGTCTGTTCCAAATCGATGAGTGTATGATTTAGAAATGCACAGTGGAACTATCCTCTATCTGAATATGATCCTTGTCTCTTTGACATGCATGCAGGATGAAATGACAGTTTGCAGCTCGTCTAAAGGTTTTGTCGGCTTGCATCATGCGTTAGAGAATGACGCCCTGATGGCCGTTCTGGCAGGAGTAGAGTCCCTGTCAGATATCGTGTCTGATTCTGACCTCGTTTTTATTCTTCGGAGACGTTTTTTAAGGAGCGGCGCTCGACTTCAGCACGGAGGAATTCCCAAAAGCCCTTCTCTCGTTGCTTAATAATCCCGCTCGCTAATGATCACAGGAAGCATCTCCGGCGGTTTTATGGCACCTTGTCCGACCTCGAGGCCGGGAGCTCTGATCGCTACCTGTTGCCGTGGCGACCCCTGCACTGTTTGTAAACATTTGAGTGTTTCTTTTGTTCGGTTGGACACTGGTAACCCCTCCAGCGCAGCGCACAGCTCTTAACACTCTGACAGTCCATCCGTCAGGATAGAACTGATGCATTTAACACAGTTCAACAAGACTGAAGAGAGGAAACACGAGAACTTATCGGCCTGAGACGTTCGTGATGGCTTCACAGGGACTAATCACACACTTAATGTCAGTGTGTCTGTCATTTCAACATGACGGAGAGGTCATCATTACAACTTATCTGTTGATTTATTCGTCTCTAAAAGATGTTTTTTGTTTTTTTTCACCCACTTCTGCTGAATAAATCAGAATTTTCCACTCAGCAAAAGAGAAAAGCGTTATTCTAGGATGTAGTCTGATGCAGTAACAATGCATGTAAGAGGAAACTCCCTGCTAAATCATAAAAACTGTGAAATACTGTCTCACACCGAAAAGCGGATATTTGATTCCACAGCCCAGCAGGTGGGTGCCACCTCACATTCATCACACCTGAGCTATAAAGTGAAAAACGAGCGAAATCTGATCTGATTTTATACATCTGATCCGACTGCCCTTCCTCTTTGTTCGCCTCCTACTGGACAAAGTGACTCTGAAACACTGAAGCTTGACTTTACAGTCGACACAATGAGTGTTTCAAACTCGATTTGTTTTACCGTCTGAGTTCAAATGGCTGAAAAGACACTAACAGGCAAAACCACCCAAACAATAGATGATATAATGAATAACTGTGGGTTTACATGCTTCGAATGACTCAATCAGAAGTTGTTTTTGATGATTTAGAGCAATAAGGAGGCAGATGCTTGATAACAGGAATTTATGAGCTAATAATGGAGATGTTTTGTCCGTTTTTATGGTACACAAGGGTCTGCAGAGTACATTTCACTGATAACCTTCTGAACTGTAATGAGTTGTACTGTGATGATTCACTCTTGCCTCAGATTGATGTGCTAAGCTCCTATGTTGATTTTTTTTTTGTCAATGAATCGAAACTAAAAGTAAAAATAAAGTTTGTGAAAGTCTTCTCCTGAATGTTGAAGCGCACACTCGATATTTTCGTCCTTGTTTGAAAGAGTTGAAATAATCCAAATAGGTCCAGTTTCCATAGATGAAAGCCTTTCATGTCGAACGTAAACTATCCTCAGAAAAAAAACTACTTTTATCCAGTTCAAGACTAAACAAGTGGGATCACGAAGGGGTTGAAAAACGGCGGGGACCTCTTGCAGTTTCTCTATGTAGTGATTAAGCGTACACTTTGTGTACAGTAGGCCGCATACCACCTACAGATCCTCCATCTCTCCCTCCCTCTCCTCCCTTTCTCCGCTCTCGTTTGATCAGCGTCTCTTCCCCTCAATCATATTGACAGCAGCATGATGTCAGACGGCAGGAATTTACTCTGTAATTTGTGAGGGTGTGTGTGTGTGTGTGTGCATACGTTACGTGAGTGTTTCTGCTCGTCCACACAGGAGTGTGGGAGAAAAAAGCGAGGAGGTGTGTGTGATTTTTTTTTTTGCAGCACACCTGCTTCCTCACCTTTCACCTTTCTGACTTTAACGGCCCCGGCCTCGGCTCCACTTCCAGCTCCCATGAAAAGTGAAGTCATGGCTTTAAAAAAAATCTTATTTTAGCCGGAGAGCGCTCATGGTTGTACCTGAGTGTGTTTGGCAGGGGTGTGGATCCAGACTAAATATCATAAAGCGCCAAAATAAAACTCCTAATTGCTTACTCAAGTGTTCAGATGTACGATAAAAATACTAAACGGTCGTTACAGACGGACTTCATGAGCGTTTATGAGTGAGGGACTGGCTGGCCGGTGGGCTCGGTGAGTTCATGGCATAAAAACTCCTTGAATGAATGAGCCTTTTGACCCGGTAGCCAGTCGAGGAAGCCTTGGTGGTCCCGGCGAGACGAGCCCAAACTGCCAAGTGTTTCCAGTAACAGCTTTTGCTCTTGGCTCGGGTCACTGGACTCGCCGGTTAATGAGAGAGAGAGGTAATGGAAGGGGGGAATTTATGAATGAATGAGCCGTTTTTATTAATAATGCTAACTCTGATACCGCTTTGGTCCAAACAGAAATATAAATCAGGAAAGTCGAGTTGAGAATCAGCGAGTATTCAAGTTTACTCAGGCAGCGTTTCGTTCTAAGCGCCTCGGTGTCAACTGCAGCTTAACTTTGCTTAATACAACAACTTTCTTCAGCTCTTTGTTTGAGTGCATGTGTCCGCTTGCTGCAGCCCTGATCCCCTCTGAGAGCTCCTGTGCATGCACACATGTTCAACATCCCATTATAAATGTATGCATACCTGAAATGAAAAGTCACTGAGCCTGTAAACCAAAGACGTACTTCCATTAATCCTCTCTCTGTGTATTATTGAGCTCGGGCTTGAATGATCCCTTTCAATGTGTCGTCTTTATTGCCCAAACCGAGCCGAGCGGCCAAGTTCCTTGCATAAGATCTGAGCACCTGTTAAACATAATAACATCACCTTTTGGCGTGGATCCCCCCGCTCACAAAGTAATAAAAGGACTGGAGTTTATTCAGGCCGCTCTGACAGAAACGTCTGACACTCGCTGGATGGGATTAGTAAGAGGACAAAGCACGGATAAGTCATCTCTGGGCGGTTTTACCCTCGTCACACGCCTGTTCATTCTCTCTCTTATCGACAACAAGTACTTTAACAGATGGAGCTCATGATCTGTTATTGTTGTGCTAGAGGCGCAGGTAATAACTTGATAGGAGGAGGTCTACACATAGATCATGTCCAAAATATTCCCACCAAGCGCCAACGTCTTGAGAAAAGAAGCAAAAGCAAAAAGAGAAAAAACTGCAGTTCTTCAAGTCGCCACTAGAGGCTGAATCTAAAGCAAAGGCAGCCCCATTAAAGGGATATTCTGGCATAAAATGAATTAAGGGTCAAATGCACTGTTACACCAAGTTAGACACCCCCTTTAGAGATGAATGTTGCCGACCGTTTGCTTCTCTAGTTATACCAACTTAAGTAACGACCACAGGTTTGTTTATGGCTCCTCAGACCGCTGTGTATTGCTATCGTGCGGCCGTTACTAAAGTTGGTATAACCAGAGAAGAGAGCGGTCGGCAACATTCATCCCTCGAGGGGGTGTCTAACTCTGTGTTACGGTGTGTTTGACCCTAAATTAACTTTACACCGGAATATCCCTTTAACTCTAAAGTTAAAATATTGATTTCTACAGTCATATTAAACAGGTTTTCAGCCCTGTACAAGAACAGCTTTGGTCTGTTCAGTCCAAGCCTGGCTCGGCTCACTACGGTGGTTTGTGGTGTAGTTAAGTGAAACAGGATCTGGCGTCAACACGGGGTGTTTTATTTTGAAAATTAAGCAGATATTTTAACTTTGTTTTATTTTAGAGTCTGACTCCGGATCTCTCTCAGCCTGTCCTGAGCTTTTTTAAGTATCGTACTCCAGTGTCCGGCAAAAATAGAGGCCGTGAAAATCTGTAGCAGAAGGTTCTGGAGCTTTTTATAAAGCAGCTAACGCAAGAAACAAATTTAGTGAGCTTCCAACAGGCCAAGCAGCAGTTTTGGATGTCTTGAGATTAAGGAGGTGCATCAGATGAAGCCAGACCTCTGCTGAAGTCCTGACTGATTCTGTTTGACTTTCAGGTAAACGTTTTACTCACTAATACGACTGTTTTTGATTTTAACTGACTGAAACACCCGTCAGGGCTCTGATGGGGTTATCTGGGGTCTCCTTCAACACATGTCGACTAATTAACCGCAATTTGGCACTTTCGTCTTCACACCTTCACCGAGCTGACGTACAGCGAGGTCACGGAGGAAATATGTGCCCACACAGCGCACACAAGCGTTTTTAAGAGCCAATGCTTAAGCTCCTCCAGCACAGGAAAGCCCAGAGGAAATTTCCAAGCCGCATCTTTTGTTTGGCAGAAACGCTTTCCAAAGTCAATTAACACTCTGTGTTTATTTGGATTTGAACTGTGATGCTGAAAAACTGACAGTGATGGGATTTTGAGGCTTAATGGTGAAGAAAAGTGGGATTAACTTTGGTTTTCTTCTATCTACTGTAGTTTAACTGCCTGTTTAAATGAACACTCTTATTTTCAAAAAATGCTATAACGTTGGGGATAAATCTCTTCAACTTCCCATGAAGATCTCATACTTTACATCTTCTGGTTCAAATTTGCAAAGTGCAAATCCTTAAGGAGCGGATTTGAGTAATGGAGGAAAGGTGTAAAGGAGTCTAACTACACTTCAACAAATTATTTACACCACCATATGAACACAAATCAGCCACTTTTGGCCGGCTTTTATGGACTTTTTCTCGTCGTAATGGTGCATCAGAAATTGGCCCCTTTTTCTCTGACTGTCCAATAACTTATAACAGAGTCCACAAAGATCAGGGACATCACTCACCAGAGATACAGCACCGATCTCCAAACTCATTTACCCGTCTCCCACGTTGACAGTGAGGGGCTGATTTGACGATATGTCAGGTCCGGTATGGAGCTTTTTTCCTGTCCCCTCTGTGAACTTTTTTTATGAACTATGTGATAAATTTGTGATCCATCTTGGAGATTTTGCAGATATGTGATACTTGCACATGTAGGAATCCCAGCGGGGCTGCGTAACATGTCTGTGACCCTTCGGTTTGTTGCACAATCTTGATTCCTAACTGTGTCCTGCAGCTTTCAGTGCACGAGTGTTTGTTGCATCATAGCTTTATTAATATTATCCAGCTGTAGCTGTGGAGCAGTGACTGAGAGCCTCATTAATAATGCATGTTAAATTATTAGACAGGTTACATACTGTTCTAATGATGCAGGGATAAGTTACATGTTGCACTAAAAAACTTGGTGTGCACATATGCACACACATTTGGAGCGGCTCTGTGGAGATCTGAGTAAGTGGATGTGGAGTCTGTCTTAGACTGCAGGGAATTACCTCAGCTCAGAATCATGTGGCGCCTTGCCTAGAGTGTGCACAATGCAATCATCCAGCCATCTTTCTTACTCATAAACTGTCAGAGGGCCTCACACAGAGGCCGGACACACACGGCAGCGGCAGCAGCTCCAACACAATGTTTCAAAGGTGCAATTAAGGCATCTCAGGCAAATTCTGTCAGGGGTGTGAGATGTTCCTCTCTGTCATACCACTTATTTATGCTTCCTTTCCATACAGACACTTTGTTTTGAATTATACAACCATCACCACCCGTACACTTCCATGCATCTTTTAAGTTTGGGTGGACTGGGAACCACTTCAACAAACCAGGCCTGCACAGATCTCCATTAGTGTTGTGTTGTTTGCGAGTGATTTGTTCAAAAGAACCAAATCTTTTAAGTGAACGCACTGAACCGAATCACTTTCTTAAGTGATTCGTTCGTTTCTCACTTCAGTTGAACTGTCGAGCTACATGATTCAGTGATTTGGTGAACAAATCTTTTTATTGAACTGATTCTAGTGATTCAGTACATCTAGAAGAACTGCCGTGCCCATCACTTGTCTCCATGTCTCCATGAAACTGATTTTACGTACTTGTTTATGGGTGAAGGTTACATTATATAGTTTTCAATCAACTTGCGAAATGTTTGCTTGGCGCCCCCTGTGGGCAAAGTGCTACTTTCAGATTTTGTCCAGTGCTTGTACATTTAGTAATTCTTGACTTAAATCGTACAGGCACTAAAAATTACGGCATAGAAACAGAATTTTTTTTGCTTTCGCTCATTTGGGGGGGTTTTCAGGGTCTTACAGTGGCATTATTGTTCATTCCAGTGTTTCATAGTAAGTTTGAAACTATTTACAGGAACTTTAAATTAAATACATGAGAATTATTTGGAGAATGAGAACTACACATGAGCAAACGTAGGCAGAATAACCCCCACAACGATCGCTTTATAGTGCCACAGGCATTTAGAAACATAATCAGTCAAAATGAAGCTTTATTACACCAATTTTACTGCAAAAACTGCTTAAAAACTGCAGATTCATTAATTATTAAGCTCACACTCTTTTTGTTTGAAACTATCTGACTCTCCTCAAAAAAGAGCTTAGATCATCTTTATTTCTGAGCTGTTTGGGCGCTTTGACACTTTTTCTGGCTACAAGTCAGGACACGCTTCAAGAGCTGCAGCGAGATGAAAAAATAAAACTTTGTTGGGAAATATCTTGAGCAACAGTAACTTTTCAGCCTTGTTGGAGAACTTTTGATAAGACTCGAGCAGGATACACAATGATGTAATGCCTTCAGGCAGATTATTCCCCTGAACATCAAAAACTCAGAAATGAGTCTCGGCATGCGGTTTGCTCTAGTCCTAGTTTGTCTGTTTGATGTGTTTACTTTAGCTGAATATAAAGGTGAAAAATAATAACTCTCTTGGCCCTGGAAGCTTAAAGTTCTTGTGCTTGTGAGACTGCAGCTTACGACATTCATGTTATTATGATAGCTCGATTTATCATAGTCAGTGAGTCACTGAATGGCCCATTCATAAACCAGATGTCACAAAGACGCACTGTGTACTCCAAACAGACCTTGGTAGGTAGCCATTAAACTCTTAAGTCATGGCTCAACGTGATGTTACCCCTTTTTCCGATCACTTTCTGGGCTCAAAGACACTTTCAACCACCCATCATCATCAGTGGAACAAAGTTGGTACACAAGGACAGCGCTCTGTTGCTGTAAACTGGTTTTTGCCATCGTTTCTGGGCAAAAATTTCATGCCATGGTGAAATTCATTGACAGTAAATAACCGCTGTCACTTTTGAGTAATCTGTTGCGACAGGACTTGAGGCTCAGGTTCCAAAAAATTTCTGGCGAAGTCTGAGAACTGTGGCGTAATAACGCTTTGTGGCTGGTGGTATGACGCTGCGATTATGATTGTATTCCGCTGAGTGACTAATAATAACATATCAGACGATGACGACATGCCGATGGTTGTAGAGATGACAAGGGAACTGGACGTAATATGTGCATCTGATTTAAAGCCAGCGTGGATTATGAGGACAGAATGTGCATGTCCTGACAAGAACAGTGTTTGGATCATCTCCAAGAAGGTTTGACAGGGCGGGCTGAAACATTTCCTTGTTATCGTCCTTACAGATTTATTAGGATGTCTTGTTTGGGGAATTTTACGCAGGTCAGGGTGCAGACCCGAGTCTTTGATGCTGCTTTTCCTGTCTTGGCTTTGGCATTTCATTAATGCACAAGGAAAGGCAGGAAACTCTCCAAACACAATCACTGCACACAATAATTCATCTCCTTGGCTATTGTCGTCCCAATGGAAGTGTCTTTAACCTTGCATTGTCTTCTACTCAACAGGTAAAGGAACATGCGATCCCGCAGCAACAGTCTGGAGGACGTAACGAAGGCCGAGCTGTCCCAACAGCACACAGAGGTACGCAAGAGTTCTGCAGAGCGTGAGGACCCTGCAGGAAGGACCGAGCGTCGCAGCCGACACCGAGAACCGCCTGACGACACCGGCACCATCCAACGAAATCACAAAACGAGTAAGAACAGCACCTGTGCAAGCGGGAATGGGAGCAGGAGTAGCAGTGCCAGCGGTGCAGCAAAGGGTGGTCGCAAGGAAAAGGCCAGGGACCTTTCCCGAGATGACCTCGTCTTCCTCCTGAGCTTGCTGGAAGGGGAACTGCAGGTAATCCAAGCTGTGAAGCCGTTGGACTTAACCCTGGGAACATTTAGGCGGTACAGCAGCAGACTGGCCTCCAGACGTGGCACGAGCCCAAGTCGGACATATAGTCAGACAGTCAGTCAGTGGGCACTTGAGATGGACTAAAAGCTGGTGTTAATGGAGAGTGAACAGCTGAGACTACTTACTGTCATTCCAACACTAGATCCAGGAATCCCCTGGCACTGTTGTTGTGTGATGGAAACAAGGCAAAGTCTGTCTTATTGTAAGCGAAACCAAAGGAAGTGGAGCAGCTTTTATTTTGGAGATTTAGTGAATTTAGTTTTCAAATAATGGAGACTTTTACGAGCAAAAAGCTTGACACTATCACAGTTTATCAACTAGCTGTAAATTCTGGCCTTTCTGAGAGTAGATCCACTTCCACTGGTGTAGTCTAGGTTTTCAAACTTTCACTTTAAGGGACTGACTCAGTTTGATCATAACTAATTTTCTGTCAGGGAGAGAGCAAGGCCGACACAAGGTCAGAACTCCGTTATTAATATTGAGGTTATTTACTGACTGTGGGTTGAGATTTATCTCTTGCTGTCTCGCTGCTGCAGTCTTGGAGTCCGCTGTGTCAATCCACCAAATATACTAAAACCACATTCACCTTTTCCCCCCACAACAGGCCAGAGATGAGGTGATCACGGTGCTGAAAGCAGAGAAAATCGACTTGGCACTGTTGGAGGCCAAATATGGATTTGTCACACCACAGAAAGTCCTTCAGGCCCTGCAGAGAGACTCAATCCAGGGCAAGAGCGAAATGCTCCAAGAGGACATCTACGAGAGGCCCATGGAAGAGGTAACACAGACTCTTAAGTGCAGTAGGATTGAAATCCCCACAACAGTCCAGAGGTGACAGATGTTTTCTCTGTGCTGCCCCCACAGCTGGACAAGTTGGTGGAAAAGCAAAGAGAGACACACCGGCGGATGCTGGAGCAGCTGTTGATGGTGGAGCAGTCGCACAAACAGGCCCTGTACAAGTTAGAGGACGAGAAGAGGAACCACGGAGAGTTCATGAAGAAGAGCGACGAGTTCACCAACTTGCTGGAGAAGGAGCGTGAAAGGTCAGTGTGTGAATTGACACCAGAACTTGGGAAGTTAAATGCAGCAACACCCCCGACAAAAATGGCCACGAATGTCGTTTCAGGCTTGGAGTAGCCAAACATGTTTAGGCAAGTCAATTGGCAATATCACACAATCGAGTCCTTTAGATAGAAGGCTATTAACGCCAATAAAACTGCTTCTTACTACCTCATAATACCTTCGAATTGGATTTTTATCCTTACCATCCTGTTTATTTCTAACTGGAAGTGACCGTTTTGTAAAATCATTCAACTACGTCAAGCAAATTTGGAGGAACAACACCACAAACTGCCATAAATTCAGTCCATGACTGCAGCCAAAATTAAAATTAGCATTTGGCAATAACTGTCATCTCTAGGTGCCTCCATGTCCTTGCAGTATAAGTACCTGCCAAGATGCTCTTCAGATTCAACAGACCACTCAAGCTTTCAGACATCAGATATTTTGTCTTTCCCTTTGAGCTTGTGATGAAGTATAAGGAACTGCGGTCTTGCTCATAAGCCGCTTTTTAGAAGTATAAGAGTTCAAATCCTCCATCCAGCTCCAGCCCCTCCTGCTGCCAAATATAAATGTCTTTATAATCCCATGTAATGTTCATATTAAATCAAAGTTTTCCTCTGGATTACAGAGGGAAAAAAACAGACCTAAGTATTCCATTATTGTTTTTCCCATGACCTGCTGTAAGTCCTTAACTTTTTATTATCACCTTTTATTGAACAACTCTGCACAAACCTGGAGCAAACTGAGAGTTTTTACTGGAGAAGATCCAGCCACTGAGAGAAGGGAGGTAACGGTTTGTCGACAGATAATTTAAGCCGGAGCTTGGATACACAAACAAGCTTTACGTTTACAGCCGTGCTTTATGGCAGCGGTGAGGATACTTGTGAAACAGAGTGAAAAACCATATCTCTGGATTACTTTCCAACAGTTTGGTTAAAGCTGCAGGAGAGCTCAGAGTGAGGACACTTGAAGATGCATTTATCCTCATAATGTGCTGATGTGCTATTTCTCTAAACTGCCTAAAATTGGAGGATTCTCCGGTTCAATTTGCTGGACCAGCACAGTGCCAATCAGGCACCCATGAGGCTTTATATTGGGGTTTGAGCATAGGAGAGAAGAAATAGATTGGGGAAATGATGTATACCTGATACATTGGTGAATTCTTGACTATAAACCATTTAAAACATTAGCCACGTTCAAATGGGCAAAATTTCTTGATCCGATTAAAAATTTGAGGGATTGGATAATCTGAATCCACTGTTTATATGAGTGCAAAATCAAATAATCTGATCATGACCTGCGTATACATGCACCAAGCTTTATTCAGATTAGAAGCATTTGGACACGCACAGAGTTGTCTGATTTCGCTAAAACAACCGCAGAGGAAGAGTTGTATTGATGTCTGTGCTGTCAACAAACCAACAAACTCAACAAACTAGTGGCTCACTCCATCTAATTCAGGAGTTTTTCTCCGTTAAATGTTAACATCTTAAATGTTAAATGTTCACAATGCGATTCAGAATAACAATCTGCATAAACCACCCCCCCTCGATCAGGATACAATTTCTTTCTGATTGAGCCGAATTGGATCAGAATCTTCCGATCGACATGTTAGCGGGACGCATTTTTATTCCGATCGGGCATTTCTTCCTATTGTTTGTGCCCATGTAAACGCAACTATTGTCACCCACCCTTTAAAAGCAGTGCCCTAAATTGGCGGCCGACATATTGGAAAAAGCCCAACCATTAGTCATCCTTGACACCAGCAAAGGGAGCCAATGGGGTGTTCAGTGGTATTTCATTAAGGTCTTGTATCACTCTAATAATCAATTGTCCCAGCAGATTCCAATAAGCCACGAGGCCTGATATGTCGTCCTTTAGCACCACAGCAATTCTGGTAGCACTTATGCTATCAAGTGCTATAATATATATGTTAAATGATGCATTCAAGAGCCCTGATAACACATGCAGCGTGTTGTGAGTCTTGGCTGTAAACTGAGGTGTGCTGTGTTTGTATTAAACCCTACGCTCAGTCGAGTTTTTGCACCAATTTCAGGTTTTTGTACAGACATGTTGCAGAAACTTCGCTGCCTCGAATGGTGAAACTTACATCAGTAAATACTGCAACGTGAGAGGAGTCTGGGATGAATTATTTGGAAGTGATGTTTAACATTGCCAACTAAGACTGAGATGGATGGCGGCCAAAAGTGGAAACATGTCTGACTGATTTGTTCTGTAAATGTCACACAGAGCTGTTACCGTGCCGGGCGCTGTTTTCTGCTTCCTCAGCAATATCATGTATCACTAACACAACCCAAAAAGTCATCTAACAACGCATTCAGACCTATAAAAACACTCCTCATGCACTCTCAGCAATTAATTTCACAATGGAAACACAGCTGGATGTCAGCCTGTGACCTATTTGGGACAATCACATCATCGCGCCCTCGCTGGAGCACAATGTTTGAGTTGGACTGGAGGACGGCGTGGCGATGGTCTGCGCTTTGTCACCACGCATGTCGGAAAAGAAGGAGTGCCATGAAAAATAGACCTCTGTCCAGGGTTGAGCTAATTACCTCGTGAGAAATGGCAAATAGATTTATAAGACTGAGAGGGGAACGAAAAGGGAAAAGTAAGCTAATGGCTCTGAGAGGCATCAATCATGCAGCATGTTCAACGAGAGGCCAGATCACCATGGAAATAGTTGATGAGGGGTTTGTTTCAGTCTTGGCCTTGCTGTTGAACATGTACAGAGAAACACGTAGCATTCTTTATGAGACTTGTGACTGTTTTACTGTCTAGCAATGGTTTTTACCTGTAGGAAGGTAAGGGTGCAAGAGCTATTTCTGATCGGCTTTAGCATGGTTCGTATGCAACTTCGTATGAGTTGAACCCTGTAGACTGGAAAGAAAGAAAGAGCTTGTTTTGATGCTCCGGACAAAGTGAGGGTATCTGAGGAGCTCCATTCTGGTTCATAATTGAGGGGCTTTAATGAAACTCATGTGTATTTCAGTAAGGTTGTTTCACATTAAACTCAACTTGGTTTAATAAGTCCGTAGGGATGGAAAGTATTTGGAGAACGACCACTAAATTATGCAGCTTTTGAACAATCCTGACGGTCAGCCAAAGCCATTGGGGGAAATCTTAAAACAACAGTGATGCTGAAATTAGTACCTAAACTGTTTATTGAAAACATCCATTATCGTGGACAGACCCCCCTGGTTTGACTTTGACTCACTGCAATTACATCATTTTATTGTTTTCCTGTTTAATGAGGTTTACGATACACTCAGAAACCCCACTTTGTGGGTTTTAGAGTGGTTTATGGGGGCTTTTTCTAAGTTGAAGGGCAGCTTTTGTGCTAACTGTGAGGTTGTTGGGTAAGGACTTGGAGAACTACAAATATGGAGGTAAAAAAAAAAACTGCAGTTCCTTAAACGTCCATTGGAGGTTGGCACCAAAAGCCAAGGGCTCCTCATTAACAACCACGTTACAAAGAACATCTTCACATTAGCCTGATACGAATAAATGTTTGGTCTCTGCCTTTTAGCCTTTTGCTTAGTCAACGGTAGGGGGGACACGACTACGCGGGGACGGAGTCACAGAGTTGCACAAAGCTAATTTTAAGAGTTCTTCGGATCGGATTGAGTGTCTTTAACACGCTTCTAACTCAGTGAGTCCACATGACACAAAATCGAAACTTGTGTACAAAAAAGGATTTCATAAACTTCCCTGGACAAATCCGAACAACCCGGACAGTCCCCCAAAAAGAGGACATGTCCGGGTAAAAGAGGATGCATTGTCACCCTAGTCAACGGAAAGGTGGTTCCAGAAAGGGAACCACTATCGTTGTGCCTTCATGCTCCCAAGTGTCTGGCTGTACTGGTTTAGACAGTTATTAGTGGAACTGGTGAAGAACCAGCTGAAGTCGACCAGCTTTATCTTCCCAAGTCAGCACAAAAGGGAATAACGTCTTCAAACTTTCAGTGCCGTTGACACAAAGCTTCAACAAGATATACTTCTGTCATGTAACAGCTCACTGATCCGCTTCAGTTGCAGAAGCAGACTTGTCATCAAGTCCGCCCTACGCCGAAAGAAACACCAAATCCCAGAGGAGACTGAGTAAACGACGTTTTAGTCATTCACCCAGAACACAAAACCCAGAGTTTGCGCAGCGGCTTCTGTTCTGCTCTGCACACCTTCCAAAACATTATTACAGAGGGTTAGAAAAGCTGAAAACCTCAAAATAACTTTGACTTCTCGAAGGAAAAGCTACTTATCGCATGTTTGAGGAGAGGTAAAACAGCTTTCTGTGTTTGAAAGCCTCAGCCTGACATGTTTACCACGCTGCAGAGGACTTAATTTCACTGTTGCAGTTGTAAGATACATTTTAGCTGCATTGAATCATTTCCTTTTACTGGACCTTTGAGAGCAAGTCATGATCCCAATCCCGGGATAACGTGCAGCAGGATTTGGAAACGTTTTCCTCCAGATCTCACGCTGCAGATTTATAAACTCCTCATCTCCTGCTGCCTTTTCTTAATTTCATAGCGGGGCGTCTCTGACTGCCGTCTGACCTCCTCCCTGGAAGCCCTAAAAAGCTTGTAAATCAGGGCAGGAGGTTGGGGATGAACCTGGCCCCCTCTCTGGATTCATTAGCGATCAAGCGTCCGTCCATGAGTGATGACCTCACTGCGCGGCGGGTACCTTGAGAGCAGCAGGGGTGTGAGAGCGAGAGCAGTGTCCTAACCATCAGCAGATGTGACTTTGAACATGACTTCAGCACGCATGCTGCATGAATTTCGCTCGTCTTTGTTCTTTCTGCAGAGAGACGGAGGACAGGGAGTGAATTTTATGACCATCTGTATCCTCTGATTTCATGCACAGCAAAGAAAAACTCAAATCCTGGCTCATGTTTAAAACACACCGACTCGTGTCAACGCGAGGAGCCTGGTACTGAAACGTGAGCCGGTCCATCATCCTGCTATCTTTACCATTTAAAGCTACAGCAGGCGGCCTCGTGTGTCCAAGCCTCCAGATGGCAGCGAGCGAGAGCATGAAACATGAACTTGGATACCTACAGCTCCTCTGATGTAATCTCAGGAATATGCACACAGCACCTTGTGTGTATCGAGCCAGCTGGTCTGGGATCAGTTTGGAGCAAAGAAGGAGGGGAGTCCAAAGGTCCTGCTGTTTCTGGGTAAAGCTTGGAAGTCTTGTTTGCTGCTGTTCGCTTTGAATGCTGATGATCCATTTCGGGGTGAACTCAGTTAGTGTCGATATAAAACGGATTTTCGGATGTCGCTTTCTTCACATGATTCATACCGACAGGATGTTTGTACTTTCCCGTACAAATCATGCGATTCCTATTTTCTGCTCTTTATTAGTCATGACTCTTGCTCAATAAATTTCGGCCTTGACGGGGAAGTCCGATGGTGGTAACAGCCATGGAAACAAAGCTTCAGGGGGAAGATGAACTGAAACAAAAGCACGTCAATGTCATCCACTGGCACGCTGAGTTATAATCTCTCCAACTGATAAAAAAGCACAGTAGCTGCTTAACGTGACACCACATGACCTCCCCTCCTCTCCCCGCCCCGCCTCCTCTTTTATAATGATTTGCAGGGCATACAATAAATCTTCATGCCATCTGCTTGACTTAAGCGCGGCGCGGGGTGACATCACTCCTGTGGATCAGATCGAGAACATTCTTGAGTGGTGTCCTCATCACGCTGAGATGCTTATTATCCAGACCTGCCCTGTTCTTTGAAAACAGAACGCAGAGGTTTGGGATGTTTCTTCTTTTACGATCTGGGATTTTTGTCAGTTATTAATTATCGCTGATCTTGTCTGTCTCTGCTGGTTCATTTTAGTTCAGGTGGTGAACTCTGCAGAAAGTAGAGAAATGCACGGTGCTTTTGCAGGTTTTAGGTCGTTTTCGTGAGCACGCACCTGGATATTGTCGAGATTTCATCAAAACTCTTGAAGAGGAGACACGAATCGGCCTTATTTATCAACCAGAGCAAACACCTGTGCAATCTTATTCACAAAATCCAACTGCATGGAAGCGAACTCGTGTCAAACTCTTTCCTTTTAAGGCAATGAAACGGATTCCTCGAGCAGCATCCCGTACGTGACGTCCCTCACATGTTTGCAGGAATCACACGGACACGACACATTCAGAGAAACCCTCTGAGCACACATATGACACGCTGCCACTGCTTTACACGCCACCAAAACACATCCTGCAGGGTGGATTTTTTTCCTGAACAGTTTCAAAACAAAGATGGCAAAAAAAGGCCAAAGGAGAACGAAGAAACCAGTATGTTTAAGGTAGAAAATAAAGTGACCAGTGAGTTTATTCTACGCTGAGTGTGTATTTCCCGCTCTGCACCACCTTTGTTTGTATATCTGGTCGCTTGTCGCTGCATCACTCCCACACTGTAGGAAAAACTGAGCGTCTTCTGACCTAATTCAGGCCGTCCAACGAGCACTCCCTTTTCAGCTTTGGCCAGATAAAGAGCAGATTGCTCCCCGCGCTCTGGTACATTAGTCTGAATCTACAGTAACAGGACAGCTGAGCCTCCTTTACTTCACTTAACCTTGAACACTTTGGATTGTACAACTTTATCTTCAAACTGCGGGACCTTGACTTGGTCTGAGGAGGGATTTAAATGATTAATGATGTGTTCTCCAGACTACAATCAATTTTAGGAATAAAGACTAATACTCTAATAACAAAACTTGGGCTGAAGGTCTTTTATGTTACACCTTAAAGTAAAACAGATGGCGTTTCTCTCAGTTTTGAGAACGCAGCAGTTTCCTGTTGTGTCCTTGTTTGTCTCTATGACTGTAACTTTAAAAAAATAAAGAGAGAAGACGCTCAGATGGAGGATTTCTGCCCCGCAGATGTGCAGGTATTCCTGCTTGAATGGATAGAAGACAGACGGCAGTAACACAAACCAGATACCACTCACATGAAAGTGTATTTTTGTGTGCGCGCACCTACGAGTGTGTGTTGGAGACTGTCAACATATCACTTCACTACATCTGCAAACTAGGTGGCAATTAGGCCCGGAGAGTCGTCATAGCATGGCGTAATGTGATTACATCTCCCCGACAGAATGCAGCGATTAGACCTCACCGACCACAACGACGCAAGCTTGTGCCGCCTGTACTTTTCCGACCTTTTTTAGACTTGTAGCAAAAAGAGAGAAAAAAAAAACACAAGCCTAAAATAGAACTGCAAGAAACATATTTCTACTCTATTGAATTTGACGTTTAAATGGACTCTACAGTAGACCTGTAATATTTATAGTCACCTATTATGTCAGTCTAAGACACCTACAGAGAGGTTCAAAACGCTCCTTATTTATCACATACAGGTGTCTGTAAAAACTCTCAGTTCAGCACTATTCAACCTGTTTAGTTTGGCTGATTTTTCACAGATATAAGAACAGATGCAGCCAGTGGGTGCTACCTTTCACACAGCTTTGAAGTAGTTAAAGTCCTGCCTTTACAGAGAATTCTTGAAGCTAACTGCTAGTAGCGCAATCTAGCTCCATTAGCTTAGCTGTTTTGGTCATTTTGCTGATTTTAACTTAGATAGAGCATGTTGGTGTTACTTTTTACACATATCCCTGTTATGTGCCTTTTGCTGATATAAAGTTAGACATAGCTTGTGGGTGCTACTTTCTACACATTAAACTCTCTGAAAGTCCTGCCTTTACTGAAAATCCCTAAAGCTATCTAATAGAAGCACAATTTAGCTCTGTTAGCTTCGTTGTTCTGGGCTTTTTTTTTGCTGATTTTAACTTAGATAGAGCATGTGGGTGTTACTTTTTACACAGCTTGCACAGCAGAAGTTATGTCGTAGAAGAAAATGTCTGAGGTTAGCAGTGTTTGCATCCACTTAGCTTCTTTCTTAAGTCCTGTAAGCATATATTTGCTGCTGTTACAAAAGCTGGTATTATAATCTGAATTACAGCTAGTGGTTTGAAGTCTCTACAGACGGTCTTTAGAGATGGAACAGCAGGGACACAAATCCAGCTGTAACTGGACTGAACAGTAAAGTGGGGAGCTTTAATAGCATAAGCATAACTCTCTATTTTCTGACTCCATTGTCCTTCAGAAGAGAAAAAAAAAGCTTGATTTTCCGACCAAAAGCTGAGTGATATTAGAGCTCTTTGTTACTTCCAATATCTGTCAGTGTTAAAAGAAACAGAGAAGAAATAGTGTGCTGGTCAGTCAAACAGAGCCTGACAAATGAGTCTTGTGACTGGGAATCCGCAGGAGTGATGTATGAGCTAATCTTCTATTTGTGAAAGGAAATAGCACCAAGGGTGGAGAGCCCGGGTCAAAGAGGAAAAAATGCAGCTAATGTAGAGTTAGCATGACTTTTCTACGCTTGCTGTGAACCGTGCGTGGCCTCTGCAAAAAAAAAAGCTGGAGACAGGGAATGATGGTGAGACAGGCATGTAAATCCGACACTGCTGAGGATACATTCACCCGTCAGTAAAAGCCTAATCTCTGTGATTTACCCTCTTCTTGCATTTGTTCTAGCAGGCACCTCCTTGAGTTACAGCTTGGCAAAACATGGCAAAGGGAAGCCATTTTTTTCCCTCCCGTCCTGTCAGGCTGGAAGGAAGCGACAGCGAGAAACTTGCACATTACGTCCTCGGAGCTGGCAGCTGCCGCGTCTGAACAATGAGTGTGTGCCTGCGCCGCCGGCCAAGCTGGTGTCAAGATAGTGAGTGAAATATGGAGGGAGGAAGGAGCCCGCCTGGATCTGCCAACTCAAATGTCTCATTGTGGCGAATGGGCTATCTGGACGTGGCCGCGGTGAATTGTGCAAACAGGAGAAGTCAATCAATGCGGTGACATTTCTGGCCTTTGCCTTTGTAAGGAAGACAGGATTACTGTTGTACTGCTGTAGGCCATTAACCCGATGGAGATGTTAACATTCGGGCTTTCATTTAACTCTTCTCAAATGCGAATAATTTGATCAGGATCCGTCCGCATAAATCTTTTTGACCTTTTCTCATATGTTGGTGGAAATTCTTGTACTTTTTGCCGTCTTACAACTAGGCCATGAAAAAAGTCGACCCTGATACTTAAAACAGCCCACATTTATCATCCCTCTAAGTACGCTGATAGATGTTTAAATGGTGTTTTAACTAAACAAATGAGGTAAAACAATTGGCGAGACCCTGGCAGATGAACCCGCTGAGGACGTCCATGTCAGCGCAACTCATGAGCTCATATCCTGTTTCAGCTCCTGGGAGGAAGAGTCAGTTTAGCCGGGTCTTACAGGCAACAAAACCCCACCTGGGGGACCGCATTTGGCATAAAAAAGATCTCTATTGGTTATCTTTTCTTTCTCACTGTGTGACAGGAAACTTTTACCCCTTGTGTGGAAAGTTCACAACCCTGAGAGTCACTTATCTTGATGGAGAACACCTTTCAGAGTGACCAGCGGGAGAGGAAAGCAGATCTTGCATGTTTTTAGGTTGGCTTTGGAAGTGCGAGTGCTGCAAATATCTTACTTTAACCGAGGATTTCCAAGCTCTTACGCTATGTTTTGTAGAGTCTAAGTTTGGGGCATTTTCTACTACCTCAAGAACTTGGAGATACTTTGGGGTAAACATGGTGTCATCCATCAAACTAATCTGCTCTCCTGAGTCTTTGTGTGCGCAGCCATTGTTGGGATTTTATAGGATTTGTGTAAAATTCAAAATAGCACTTGTAACTGTCTCAGGGTGTTAGGAAGCAACTGATTCGGCAGTGGTAACCGTTAATTAGGGATGTTTATGGGGAGCAGGGTTTCATTTACTTTTCCCTGACGGAGTTTGCCTGACAGAGACCAAAAAACAAAGCGGCTGTTTTGGTTACGTGTTTCTCGTGAATGCAGCTCTTTATTTGTGGCTGAGGTATCGTACAAACTTTTATGATTTATCACCTCAAAGGAATCTCAGGATGTATGCTTTCTTACGGTGTAATCCTCGTGTAAGAGAGGGGGACATTAAGAGTGTCGGTTTGTGGTTATTAAGGGAGTGAAAAATCTGAAGGTTGTATGTTGAGCTGTTAAGACGGCGGTGGTCGAGTCTCGAGTTGTGATATAGAAACCAACATTTAAAACTCTGGGGATCGACTCTTTGGCGTGGAACAATAGAAAGCTGTCAGAGGGACCACCCTGTCGTAGTGCATCCTGGGCTTTGACAAAGCAGGAAACAAGAGCCCACAGTCGGGGTTTAAATTCCCTCCTCCCCAATCTGATACTAGGTAGTGAAAATGATTGATGAGAGGGTTTTCCTGTCCGGTTATGAGGCTGCTGAGTAGCTGGCACTGCTGTGTGTCAGGGTTGAGATATGAGAATAAACATTATCTTTTCAGGCACACCTTTTCCCTCAGTCGTAATTGCTGTTTTCAAGGAAACGTTTCAAACTGAATAATTATGTAACTATGAGAAATGCGTTTAATAAAAGATTTTGGACACGGGCTGAATCTTTTACAAGCCCGCAAAGCCTCTGCGAAAACACTCCTGAAATGAAATTTAACTCTCTATAATATGCATGACTTCACAGAAAACCAAATTCTGTCTTTTTATGGCGAGACAGGAAACCAGCGCGACAAGCCCGATGGCTCCCATGCTTAATAAGTTACCTTCACCGACCGCAAAGTGTGCAATTGATAGCCTGAGCTGCAGTATCATCGCAGCAAGACAAACACCATCAACGTCCTCTGAACCACGCTCTTCCTCCGAGTCATTTCCAGGGTGCAACGGTCTTTTTCAACCAAGCCCAAAACCTCAATTGTAACGTATTTCTCCAAGATTTAATTATCCAGTCAACTTAGTTTTACTCGAAAATCGTCTATTCTGATGTTGCCTTGACCCGGTGAGGCGCCATGAAGGCCTGGCGCTCACTCTGATACCCTCGCAGCACAGACCGATGAAGACGTCCAATAGATGTGATTTGATGAGGTCGCAGCAGAATTTCAAGCCTGCCCATAAAAGATTAGAACGAGGAAATCAGACAAGTCCAAGCGACTGATATCTCAGGGCAAATGTTTTTGGGTTTGAAACCCAGCAAATCCTCCTGGCAGTGACAGAGGTGATGAAGGATGGTGGGTGGGTGGGTGGGTGGGTGGATGACTAAAGGGTGGAAAAACGGTTTAGAGGGTCTATCCGGTTTCAGGAGCCTCTCATGGTTAGGAGAATTTGAAGAAAAGGGAAGTATCCATGTCAGAAAGGCAAGAAAGGTCTGGTAGTAAACCTGCAAAGTTTAATGCCTTATTTCCTCTCATTTCTGTGGCTTAATCACCCTGACATGACATGATGTTTTTAGACACTTATGTTGTCTTGTATAATCAGCCAAAGTAAGTAATATCAGAGACGCATCTTTCCCTGTGTCACCTGTAATCTGAATAAAAGCGCTGAGGGATCTGTGAAGGGTTCCCGTGATGTTTGAGCACGCCGAAAAGAGGAATGACATCTGCGGTTTGGATTAAAACCAAACACAAGAGAGAATAAATGCCATGCCTGCATCTCTCTAATTTTATGTAAGTATAGCGTGAGCTCATTCCTGAGGCGCTCTCCTTTTTTTTTTTTCAAACAAAGAAAATTATGAGCTCATATTTCGAGAAGCTGTATATTACAGCCAGTGTTGTACTCGGCCCAAAATAACATAAAACTCTGATTTAGCAGCTATTCTTTCGCTCTGCAGGGCCGTGGCGTCCTTTCAGACGGACTGAGCTCCGTCCAAACTTTAATATTATAATTTGAACGGTGGATTTTCTTCAGCAAAGGAAGGTTCAAATTAAATGCATTTTTAGAAATCTGTTTTTATTTTGAGCCAAAATACAACCAGAAGTTTTTCAAAGTTGAGGGTTTTGGATGAATCGCAGAGGGCAGAGGTTAAAAAGCAGGCATTCAAAGTAAAGGTTCTTGGCGTAAAAAGTGCTGCTGGGGCGACTTTTGGGAGCTTGATCCACGTTAAGCCCTCGCTGCTGAATGGCCAATAGTGAACCTGGTGTTGCATTAGGAGCTTCCCTGGTGTATTGAGTTTAATGTACAGTATAAAACAAGAGAGTGGAGAGATTCAGCCATGCATAATGCACATAAGTTCTTTCCGTTCTTGCAAAAAAAAAAAAAAAGTTTTAAAACATAATTATGAAAAGAAGCTCACAAGCTGTCTGTGTTTGACAAATCTGCAAGCATTACGGGTCATAAAATCAGTTTTAGGGATTATAAAGTTCTTATTAAAGTTCCAAATGTTGTTAAAAACTAAGGGGATTGAAGTGAATCTGAGGATCAGCTCGACGATGCCAACAGATGTCCTCACATATTTCAAATATCTCGTAAAACCCTCTCAAGACTCGGCGTCCTGCCAGAGCTAATTGCGCTAAAAGAGAATAAAATCACCATCAATCCTCATCAACGCTGGATGTGGACAAAGCTAAACCTCATAACCCTCAGCGCTCAAATGCCTCTCTGGATCCGCTCCAGATGTGAGCCATCTGTTGTGTTCAGTCACTGAGGTGAGACTACTCGTGTCTATCCAGACGGTGACATCACCCAGAACAGAGACGGGCTCAAATCCAGCATTCAGGGCCCTTCATTAATAACCCCGCTGATCCAAGGCTTTCAGGCAGCCCCCTCTACGTGCACCAAGGTATCCCACTGGTGCACTTCATCAACGTTATAAGTGTTTTCTGCCACAGGGATCCTAATGCAGCCAAGAGACCAGAAAACAGCAGGGCTGCGCTGCACGAAACATGCCCCTTCTCTCTACCGCCCCAAGAGGTTTTGGGTTTTATGGGCTGGCGTGGCATGAAGTCATGGTGAAAACAGCTACTAAGGAAGGCTGATACGACCTGTTTGAACCAGCGGGCAAAATAAAAGAGGAGCGAAATGAACAGGACACTTTTCCTGAGACCAGTATGTGGCGTTTTTCTACTAAACGACTGACTCAAGTCCGAAATTTTGGCGTTGCGGGCAGGAGCACAGCAAGTTTTGGTTAGCGCTTATGACACTGGTAGTCAAAGAGACTAAACACAACTCACCTACTCTCTTCCAGTTTGTATGGAGACCTCCAGGCGAGTCCATCGTCTGCAGCAGGGTGACGCAGCTCAAGGAAGAACATTTATGATTATTATTTTAGCATTTCCTTTTAGTAATAATCAACATATTAATCATTTTGTAGACGCGGTAGTTCTTCTGCCCTAGCGTCTCGGTCTGATTGTATTTCCATGAAGAAATGATCATAAATGTTGTTCCTTGAGCTGCGTCACCCCGCAGCAGTCCGTAATGGACTGGCCCGAGGTCTTGCAACAAACAAACGGCTCCTCAGACCGCTGTGTATTGCTATCGTGTGGTCGTTACTAAAATTGGTATAACTGGAGAAGCAAAAAGTAAACTAATTTTATGCTGAAATATCCCTTTAAGACACTGTCATACATCAGGGACGTGACTCCACCCCATCCAGTCCATAACAAAGAGAAAAAGACAGGTGAGGAGATGGAGGACGGTTCAAAAGTTGTAACGGCTGAAGTAGACAAAGTTAATGTGGGAGGGGGTGAGCAACTTGTGGAGTAGTTATCCTCCATTTATCGTTATTGAGGTGAACTGATCAATATATCGTGTTATTGATTTAAGGCATTTAATTTAATATCACCCAGCCCTACCTTCTTTAGTTTATTAGTATTATGACCGCCAACGTTGACAGAAGTTAATTCAGAATATTCTCAGTCTCTGCAGAATTCAAGATACATGACAGACAGGAAGCAGCTATTAAGTTTTCTCATCAGGAGTGTAATCAAACAATCATGTTTCCACAAACTCTACAAGGGATTGAGTGAAGTTTTTTGCATCACTCATCCTCCAAATTAAATCAAGCCATTTTGTGTAGGGACTGAAAAACCCCCGGGAAACTAAAAGACGCCAAGAAAAACATCTTCTGAGGGATATGAATGTGGGGATGACATAAAACAATCCATGAGAAACTGAGGCAATGACGTGGTGGATAATTGGTCTGAGCTTCAGTCTGCTTCTCCTCAATGAAATTCAGAGACAATCTGAGGCCGGCTGCCAAGTCATTGGAATAATGGAAGCCACGACGGGAAGTGAACAGACAATAGAAAAAGCTCAGGTCCAGGATCCCAAACCACCGCCCAGCCAGGGTCTCATCCCCTCTGAGCTCTCTGGGAGGGGAGTGATGTCATCCTAACACACCCCAGACTAACACAAACCGACGATCCGGCAGACATGCACTCGCAGACTCACAGTCCATCACGGCTCTTGTCTCGCTTAAGTAAATTCCAGCGTCACACCCCACATCCCGAATCACTATCATTTACATTCCTCCTGAACATAGAGAGGTGAGCGGTGAGTGGGAGGATTCAGGGTGAGCCTGCAGCTGGCTGAGCGTGATGGAAAGGCTGAGGGGAGAGCAGGAAGATAAGAAGAAAGAGGAAAAGAGAGGAAAGAGGGGAGTAAGAAGCTTCTAATAGACAATGTAAAGGAAGCGGTTGTAAATTTATACAACAGGCTGTAGTTCCTCGAGGGCAAAAAGGGAAATTTCAAAGTGTTGTAATCTCAGAATAAAACTCTGCTTTTAACTGCAACTGTGGCATCAGCGCAGGATGTCGAGGAGAAGAAAGTCTTGTTCAAAAATAGAAAATGAAAACACAGCAAAGTAGAAGTGACACGGATCTTCGAGCCAGTAGATAATGGGAGGTACTAGGGCTGGGCGATATGGCCTCAAATCAATGTCTCGATATATTGAGCAGTTCACCTTAATAACTACTCCACAAGCTGCTCACCTCCTCCCACATTAACTTCGTCTACTTCAGCCGCTACAACTTTTGAACCGTCCTCCAGCTCCAGCTACGTCTCCAACGTAGGACAGCGTCTCAAAGGGACAAGAGATCATAGCCTACCTACACACATCCAAAAACAACTTTTATTTATTTATTTATTTGTTTATTTGACACTGAATATATTGAAAAATGATGTTGGTTATTGTCGTTAATTTCAGTATCTGTAAATTTTTGGTTTATCGTCCAGCCCTAGACTAACATCGTGTTGTATAGGTTAATTTTTTTGTCATATCAAAGTGGTAACAGCATGGATCCCAAAGTACTCAGACCTGCAGATATTGTAATAGGAAAATACCGTACCCTATCATAATGTATCGTAAAATGTATTGTATTAACACCTACAGTATAGTATCATGTCAAATCCTAACATTTTGTATCGTTCGTATCGTTTCATGTCCTTTAATTTCGCTCTGAACCTGAACTCCACAAACTAATCCTGATAGTGCGAGTAAACTTTGTCATGCAGCCAGTAATTAGCATGCCAAAGCTCGCTTAATTTTGTATATTGGTTATTGTTAGCAGTTTCCCTAAGCTAGAAACTGCTTCCAGAGAAATAGTCGTCAAGCTCTTCCAAAACGGCAAAATCAGAACAATCAGAACTTTAAATCCTGCCGGTTTTAACTATTTAGCGAGGGAGTATGAGTACAGAACTTTTCAAGGAGTTGGTCATATTAATGGTGTTGTGAGGTGATGCAAGCAAAGTAGCCATAGCAACTGTAAAATGTAGTTTGTCTTGGGTTAGGTGGCTACTTACATCGAGCTTAAGTAAATAAAAATGAGGTCCCAGTTTTGTCTGAGTAGTATACCGATTAAATTTAGAAACTAGTCAAGTGTATGTTTATTCAGTTACTCAGAAGTGAACTGGTGTAACAGGCCAAAAATAATAATAGAGACACTAACCCTTAAAAAATCCACTTCTTGGCAAACTCAACACCCTGCAAAGGTACAATTTTCTTCCAAAAAGGAAGGAAACTGCCAAAGGTTTGTTCTCGAGTCCCTTTCCTATCAAACTTGTTTCTTTGCAGCTCATCTACACTGACTCCACTGACTCAAACTGATCCTCCTGCATGACAACCGGCTGGAGCTGTCCCCTCCACCCGTCCAACGTTAAATAACAATGTGATGACACTTCTATCATCAGACTCGGCTTTTGGACGTCTTCCATTAATGCGGTTGTGAAATGATGAACACATTGTGAAACCCATTTCCTGTGTTTCGAGATGTTGGAAAGTGTTTGTAGATAAGTCAGGGAATGAGTAAATGGGACAGATATATTAAGTGGGAGCTGACTGTGCTGTAGGCCTATCATTTAGCCCTGATTTTTCCCCAGAACTTGTAAAGATGTGTTGGAAAGAGTGGGTAGTTTCAGTGGAAACTTGGTCAGCTTGGTGAAATTTTCCTATTTTCCAGTACACTCTATAAAAATTGAATCTTCAGAAAATGCTTCGTGTGGATCCTTCAAGCTGTGCTCCTGTGGCTGGAGGTCACACTACTATTTTCGAGGCTAAACCAGTAATCAGATATGTATGGCCCTCCTTAAACATAGTTTAACCAGAAGAAGTTCTGAAGTACTGTAATCTGCAAGAGTGTAAACACAACTTTTGTTTAGAGGGCAAGGCTGTGACGCTGAAGGTATTAGCATAAAATCAGCCTTTATCAAAAAACTGAATATAGGATTTACATGGACACAGGTGTGAAAAACGTAAAGGGCTTTGAGACTTGACAGCAGGGGAAATCTCAGCTTCTTTAAATCTGATTAGAGGGCCACTCGTGTGTGCCTCCACAGACTGCGCAGGATCAATGCTAATCCATCAGGAAACCATCAAAGAGCCTCTGGAGGCAGATCCGCCCTCTTCACCTGACAGCTGGACAGATTACTGTGTGTCGATGTGTGGAAGCGTGCGTGTATCACTTCCCCCCTTTGTGTGGATTCGCCGCCAAATAACAAGATTATTACCCTATTGTTTCTTGATTGTCAGGGTGTGGAGGCTAACAGGATCAGCACTGTGTACTTGTTGTTGTGGTGTGATTGCAGGAGTCTGGCTCTTGAGCTCTAAATTGCTTTAATGGACAGTGTGGGGTAGGGATTCCTACCCTAGGGGGCACTTTTACAGCCACAGGGGGTACTTGGACGGATAAGAAGATAAGCCTGTTATAAAATTATAGCTTGTGGTTTGATAGAAGTTGAATATGTCCAAATACTAACAACTACAATAGCAACTTTATTCGACTAAAAAGTTACTTCAAAATGCAGAAAAGTAGGAAAATGTAAGAGTTAAAAAACAAACACGTTTTTGGAGTTTGCCTCGGGAATTAATGATGTATGCATAAAACCTTTACGCTGATGTTCAGGACACATCAGAAATAAACCAGAGTGTCATCAGTGTAAGGGTCTTATGCTGCGTTCCAGTTGTACTAGGAAGTCGGAATTTCCAAGCTCCGAATCGGAAATTCATCTGGAACATCCCCCTGAAGTCGGCTTTCCTACTCAGAAAAGCCGGCCGATCCTCACCAATTCCGACATGACGACTTGATGACAAGATCATAATCCAAGATGGCAGCGCAGTGCATCAACAGTAAAGAGTAACAGTGAAAACTCGCTTAATGTTTTATTTATTAGCACTTCTGTTTTGTTTTTGTGAAATTAAATAAGTGATTTATGTTGTACTGCCCAACATCTAAAAGTAAAATACTGTGTTATGTGCTGTTTATAACTGGTATAGCTAACAACAACTAACAACTGCTGACAACCGCTAACAACAACCAACAACAGCTAACAATTGTTAACAACAGCTAACAACGGCTAACAGTAGGCATCCATCTTGGTTTTCCAACTTGTTAACTGGAACGCTGTCAACTCGGGTGTAACGTCATTCCCAGCTGCGACACCCGACTTCCGAGGTAACTGGAAAGCAGCATTAAAAGATGCAATATTTGATGGGAACTGGATAAAACACTCAACACTAAACAGCCATCCAATCCCTGATCTTTCCACTCTGAATGGTTTTTCAGTGTTTGGCCCAAAGGTCATTGAAATCCACCACAACTGTGCAAACAGCGATCTGAACATCCTCCTAAAGTGTTTGCGATTTACATCAAAGTCCGGAGTGCTGCAGGGTAATGATTATCAGCTGTACCAATTGAGGGCGGCAGACACACGCCTACCTTGTTGACTACACACTCACACATTTGCACATGCACACCCCTCTTTTTCACACCACCAGTGTGATCCTTTTGTGTGGCACTAGTCTGGAAATTACAGCCTGTCTACCTAAACCCAGCCCTTCAATCTGAACTTACAAGATTGATTCCTGCCTATAATTTTATATCGCCTCATGGTGCGGTGACGTGGTTCATTTGTTATGCCGGGAACTATTTGTTCCTATCTTCAGAGTCAGGCAGCACAAGCTCATTATATCTAATTTAAGCTTTAACTTTTATGACCTTAAGCGGACATTTTTAGAAATGTTATCAAACTCATCCAAAGAAAAATATACTCTTGGACTCTTGCCATTTGAAGCTACAGGGGATGAGTAAAAAGTGATAAGTCACTATTTGTTCCTGTTGCTGGGTCATTGCAAACTAATCGCTCCGACTCTTCTCGGTGATCTCAGCTCACTTATTTTGTTCTGGATCAGAGTGCGACTAGTGTGCTTAAAAATATCCTAACAACCCACGCCAAAGAAAGAATCACCCCCGGTGTCTGAGGAACTTCTCCAAATAATCCAGGTGTAAGAGCACCCTCAGTTTTTTCCTCTCTCAGAGTGGAACCAGGTGCAAAGTTTAGTATCTTGTTTTAATTTTATAAAACTTCAGTATTAAAAAATAAATCATAATTCTCCTTTCTAATGGAGTAATTAGGGAGCAAGAGAGATAGTATGGATAGTACAAAAGGAACCAAAGGCAGGGTTCCTACACAAGTATGGAAAGTATAGAGAAGTATGAAAGTAATTCGATCAATTTCCAGGTCTTCAAAAGTATTGTAAATGAAAATAAAATACGGGAAAAACATTCATGTTAACAGACTATATTATCACAGTTATAAAATATTGTTTTCTAAAATAGAAAAATAGCCATTTCTTAAAAATAATTTGAGAAAGTAGGGTATGAAAATGTATGGAAATTCCAACTGTGCAGAACCCTGAAAAGGGAAGTTGAGGAAAGTTTGAGGGGAGTATAAGGAGGCATCAAGGGGAGTTAGTAGGACATATAAGAGGGAAGTTCGAGGATAGTTGATAGAGGAGTTAGGGAAGAGTCCAACAGGACTTGGTAAGGAACCAAGGGGAAGTTTGTGGGAAGTTGACATGAAGTTTAATGAAGTTGGTGGGGCATCAGTGAATAACAAGAGGGAGCTAAAGGGTAGTTCGAGACGAGTTAGTAGGGAGAGTACAAGGTGGGTTCAAGGGGGAGTTGGTGAGAAGTGTAAAAAAGAAGTTGAGGGAAGTTAATGGGGCATCGGTGCAGAATAAGAAGGCGTTAAAGGGTAGTTCGAGAGGAGTACGAGGGCAGTTAGTAGGGAGAGTACAAGGTGGGTTCAAGGGGGAGTTGGTGAGAAGTGTTAAAAAGAAGTTTGAGGGGAGTAAAAAGGAAAGCAACAGGGAGTTGGTGGGGGAAAAGTTTGAGGGCCTTTGGTGGGGTGTTTTAAGGGGAGTTAGAGGAAAGATTTAGGGACTTTGGGAGGACTAGGAGACATGTCTTCACTGTAAAAACTTTTGAAGGTTACATCTCAGAGAAAGAGGGACTCCAGGTCAGGCTGGCCCTCTTTAATAAATTCGCAGACTTACAAAATGAGACAGGATGCGAGTTACTCCAAACAGAATCAAATGTGCTCGAAAAATATGAAATGAGTAATAGAGTCAGGGAAAACAGAAAAGTACAGCAGGTTTCAAAAAACAGTACAAACCGCGGATGAATCATACCCACCTCTAACAGGGAGTTACAACTATTTGGACGTACAACATGTCAACACAACAACGAACAAAAGGTCTCCAGCCAGAGAACAACGATAAAAAAAGGGGTTTTGGCCCTACAAGGCCAGAAAAACATCCACATGAGGCTTTTTTTAGTCTGGCGGTCAAACTCGCGTTCCATTTCAACCGCGAGGCCCATGCTGAGGCCGGGCTGAGATCAGAGAGACGAGGGAAAACAGAGGTGAGGGACAGAAACAGAGGGAGGTAAACAAACAGAACAGGGAATGTGGGGACAAAAAGAGAGAGGGAGCACTCAAATGAGAGACGGGAGAAAAAGGAGGAGGCATGTGGGTTTGATTACATACCGATGATGTCATGGATGTATGTCAGGTAATCAGCCCGGGGGTTGTGTATATCGCACAAGCATGTGTGTGTCAGGGCAAGACTGGGCCTCGGCTGCAGAATGGGCGGTGTGTGTGTGTGTGATGCCCAGCAGAGATCACACTCAGCGGAGAGGCCGAGTGTGTGTCTTTGTCTGGTTTGATAAGCTCCCTAACACTCACAGACTTACACACATCCCTGCGGGGGGAAGACGAGTGTGTCAGTCAGCTCCAGCGGAGGCCGTAAAGTCGCCGCGTTCAGCGATAGCTCTTGTTTCCATCTGGTTTGGACATTTATGGCTTATCAGATTCATGGCAGATATCAGGTACCAGCCGCACATAAACACAAAAATACACACTCGCGGACTCAAACGCAGGTGCACTTTCCTGCAAGCTCTTGCAACACTTAACTGCGCTCGTATAGCAGCTGTATTTTCCATCATGTTGAGTCCGAGGCGGTGCAAGTAACAGAAATCAAGGATATCCCATATCATGTGTTCACTCGTATAACCTTTAAAGTGGAGGCCAAGTTTTTGTGGTCGAAACAGGAAGTCGATCTCTTTATATTCCTGGTGTATTAGTGTCAACGTTTTGTCAGTCCAGTTTGAGCGACAGAGTCAAGTTTTCAAAAGTGCAATCCATGTCATGTTTGTGCAAGACTTCAGTCCGGTTTCTACGCTAATTATTGCCCCACTTTCCACTTGTGCACAGGCGAATCCATGCTGGAGATGAAGCTGATCGATGCTTGCGACAGTTGATTGTACTGCAATTACGACCACAAAGAAGGAAAATGAGGGAACGCTCGCTGCTTCGTAGTAAACATAAATAACCCCATCATCTTCGGCATCGCTCGTTTGTAATCTTGAATTCCCAGAAAGTTCCAGCCCACAAAAAAAAATTAGCCGAATGTTAAAATACCGGAAGACGCTGCTTTGAGATTTAACAACTGCTCCACCAAACCGCACACGTTGCTCATGAAAAAACCAAACCTCCACATTCCTCTGAGCGCCGTCAGCACTGTAGTCATCCCACCGAGGTTACATAACACATCTTCATCCTCCCACTATTTGTCATCGGGTCGAGGCCTGTCACAGCAAACATGTTTGTGTGGCCTGATCTTGTGTTTGATCCCGGACATCTGTTTCATGTGTACACCGCTCAGGGCCTCAAATTTGTCCGGATCCAGAAATAGAGTCTAATTTTGGATGACCGAATTGTTTGTTCCACGAACAAACAATTTGCTGCGAGGAAATGGGAGAGAGCAGAAAACTAAAATACATCATAGCTTCGAGGCCGGAGCTCGTGGGCTGATGTTGAACTCTGTGACATTGAAACTGCTATTGAGTTTTAAATTGCCTGAAATCATCCCGCTTTAACCAAGTGTACACCAGAGTTCCCTCTATTCCCAAGGCCTCGTTACTTTGAAGGCTTCAGCGTGCTTCAGGAAAAAAAAAAAAGCTCTCTCAGCAATCGGGAGGTTTTACTTCCAAGTGGAAAGAGGGATTGGTTTTGCTGAAGAGAGAGAAAAAGTTGAGGCTTGTGTCACAGTAGGGAGCTCCGATTTGTCATTTTTGTTGTCCCCTCCAACTCCTCCACACTCTGATCTTCCGGCCTCCAGCTGTCAGCAACAGATGTGACAACTACCAAATGGTGTTCACTGTGTTAAAGTCCAAAAAGCCCTCAAACTTGGGTTGTTTTCTTGAGCAAAATGGTGAGTTCCTGCCTAGAAGTCAATGCTATCTTTGGCTCCAATTGGCTTCCATTGGCATCGTTGGCACTACCCACTGTTTCCACAGAGGCTCATTCATTACTGTCCAACAACCGTCTCATCCGATTGGTCAAAAACTGTGCGATTGATTGTGATTGATTACATAAGTTGTAAAGACACATGTTTTTGGTTGACTCTTTTTAGGAATTCACGAGTCATGTCTGGCGCTTCACTTGAGTTGACGAACTCACTGAGATTGAGTCACAGTTTTTTTAGATGCTATTTGTTGTTGTCATCAATGTATGAAGAATACCTGAGCAACAAGTTTGGCCCTGACTGGTTCCTTCATGATCTTTTGGAGTATTGTTTCTTATCATTATCATTAGTTTTATGCTGGAGATGGATGACAATATGAAGGGGAATACCACAGATTTGTTACAGATCTGAGCTTTATTTTTGTTTGGCGAGGTCATGACTTCATGTTTAATCTCCGTCATTTTATTGCTCAAAGATGTTTGTTTGTTTCGTGAAACTCTTGCTCTAAAACAATCATTAAAAATAACATCTGTATCCTTGAGTTTGTTTGGCAAGGCTTGCAGGTTATTATTTAGGAAATGTGACCTCATGCTTTGGGCAGCCATGACATATTTTACTCAGTAGGCATGAGACAACAACAGAGTCTCGGCTTTGTTTACTCGCATGGCTGGACTTCGTTAAAGCTCGTACGTATTTCCTGAAGTAACAGAATGTTCTTTGTTTTGTTTTCATGCAGGGTAAGTATATGTGACTAACTCGCTGTCTTATTGAATGTCATGCGCTGTTGCCTTACAGTAAACATGAAGTCCTGCTGTTTTTGCAGCGTTGCTTGAGTCCCCTTCATGTTTGTGCACAATGCATCGTCTGTTTTCCTTTTAACAATAGAGACACTGACGGTTACGGTCTGGCTTTACTGATAAATCTGTAAAATATTTGTTCCCGCTCAGTGAAAACAGAAAAAGACACTTTTAAAGGTGGGTGATGTAACGTGAAAAGTTGGATATTTAAGTTAAGACTAGGGGATAATGATACGAACAATGAAACCACTTCTATACACTCAGGTATGTCTGTTTACTCTTCTCTCAAAAATCTCAAAAATTACAAGGTAATCTGGACTGATATCTGGATCCTAATCGAAACTTTTAAGGACTTCTTCCATTTTCAGCCAAACCTCAGAGGAAAAAGTCCCTTTTTAACCCTCCTGCACATTGTTTTTATCAATCTAGTAATTTATACCACACATTTCAAACTTTCTCAATTGAGGTGAGTAGGGTGACCATACATCCTCTTTTACCCCGACATGTCCCCTTTTTTGGAGGCTGTCTGGGCTTGTCTGGCTTTGCCCCGGGAAGTTTATAAAATCCTTCAAATGTCCGTGATTTTGTACGCAAGTTTTCGAGTTCATGTCACTTGGATTTACTGAGTTAGAAGTCTATAAAAGACACTCAATCCGACCCAAAAAACTCTCAAAATTAACTTTGTACAACTCCATAACTCTGCCACCGTGTAGTTGTGTCCTCTTTTTGGGAAGTCAGAATATGGTCACTCTAAGTTAGTTAAATTTATATCCTCTTATGCTGCCTTCCTGCTGAGGTTTTTATAAAATTGCAGTTCAGTATTTTGGGAAATATGCACTTCTACTCATCTATTTATGAAACATGAAAGCAGAACAGGCAAGAATGAGATTTGAAACCAGTTTTTGAGACATTTAAAAGTTAAAACATAAAGACATACAGAGTAAACTTTGTAGATGCTTGTAGGGGGACTTGCTTATCTTGAGTGCGCTGTGCTAACTTCATTTTGTGCTACGCTAGCAAAAGTTTTGAATTTACTGATACAGGTACAAGGCTAGTATATGTAGCTCTTGGCAAGATGGTGAAAATATCAAACAAGTTTCTTGACAAAAAACACAATATTTATCTGACAGTTGCTTAGCTAGTACTAGAGATGTGCAAGTTTACTTGAATTAACGTCACCACCAATGTGAGTCAACGCCTGGATTACTAATCGGTTGAATGACTTGTAAATATTTCAATAATATGGGCCTAAAATGTAGGGATATGTTGTAAATGACATTAGCAGGAGTTCTCACACTGGTTAATCAGGACTACTATCCTAGGGTGACTATACTCTAAATACCCAAACAGACGACATGACTAACCGGCGGTGGAGTCACAGAGTCGCACAAAGTTCATTTTGAGAGTTTTTTTGGGTCAGATCGAGTGTCTTTTATGCGCTTCTAACTCAGTAAGTCCATGTGACACTGAACTTTCCTCCCTGATACATTAATTTTGGGGTTATCTGCAACACTTGTTTAGATTTAAAGCTTTTACATACAGAAAACTGCGGCTCTATACTTCTTTTTAAAAACTGTTCTTCATAAGTTTAAATTAAATCAAATGGTATCAGCGTTGTTAACACTCCTCGGTGAAACTCAAAGACTTGTGTTACATGTCTTTTCTTGTTCTTCAGCATTGGTCTTGATTACAAGACCAATTTCTCATTAACTTTACGAGTTTCTTCTTCTTTTTTCTCCTTTCTTGGCTCCGAGTGTTGACGAGAGCCAGAGGGGGGGAAACACTGAAACTCTAACTCCTCGTCTCTCCTCACCTACATGCCCTGCCTCCGGAGCAGTGACAGCTCCGGCAGATATTTCACACATTACATACGTCAAGAAAAACCCTTTCTCCCCTCTCTCTCCTCGGCCACATCCTTCAGTTAAACAGTTACGAGCACTTACACGCAGCAGCGAGCACACCCCCTTCTTGTGAGCCTGTGCGATGCAAAGCTCCATATAAGGGCATGCTGATGATGTAATGCTCCATAGGCAGGGAGCACATCCCTTATTGTTTGGTCTGAGTGCAGGAATGCCCACATTACAGCTACTCAGAGAGTGAGGCGCACGCAGAGAGGAAGAGCCGAGGGTCGAGTGTCGTACGGCGAGATAATGAGTTTATGGCTGTGAAGCAGGGGGAGCTTTTGGCACAGGTAGGCTGCAGGAACATTCACACTAAACTTCTGGAAAACCTGTCGCTAGTTTGTTTGGCTTGGAGGTGCAGAAATATTGAAATTATCATAATTTCAAGCTGCTGTTCTTCTGAACTTTGTAAGTTTTACTGAGTGTGTTGTCTCGTGTCTCTGGAGTTAGTTTTTTGGTTTATTTCTGAAATGTTTGACGGTTTTTGTTAAACTGTAAAAAGCTTTTCATCTCAGCCAAAGTTTCTAAAGATGATCGGGTTTGAAATTGTGTTCAAAAGTTCGTTTTGTATCTTTATTCTTATCTCAAAAGGAGGTGGTTGAATCTAATTTTTCTAACTCCAAATTTAAATGATCTCTGGAAATCTTAAGGACATGGTCGAGCAAATTGGGATGAACTATTTATGGAGTGAAAGAGCAGTGATTTTAGTGTGGCCACACTGTACAAAAGAAACTAGTAGTTTGAAATGAGAAAAAGTTGGTGTCCCTTGAAATAATAAGTTGAGATTCATTCATTCAAAACACTTTCTTTGTCAGATTATCTCACTTGTACAGTTTGATTTATTGACTTAGCATTATAGTCCAAACTGGATGTGAACCTCCTTGTTAAAAAGCGACAGCTGCATCCACAGCTTTGTGTAATCACATCCTAAACAGCCTGTATATTTGGGCCAACTTGAAGATTTATACTCTCTGTTTATCACTTTTTCCGGATTGGAAACCTTCCATTTATTGAGGCGACTTCACATGTTCACAAGTTATCTCAACACTTTGACAGAGTATGAATCATCTGAGGAGTCTTACGGTCCAAACTTTGGACCTAAATGAGGCTCAACTTTGTCTGAAAGTAGTTTGAAATTCACAAGTAGGTCTCCTGTGCGTGAATATGCCATGAATTCATGATGGATGGATGTGGAAAAAACACCAGCAACCAAGTTACAGATGAAAAAGTGTCAAAATAACTAAACAGAACTCATATTTCAGCATTTCATGTGTGCAGCAGATGCCTGTTTCAATGGATTCTCATTATCCACTTGGTCATGTTTAAACAAATCATCATAAACTATACATGAACTGAGAGAGCAGTGATTTTATTCTGACAAAGTGCCCCAAACATGGAGCTTAATGAGGCTCAGTCTTGCCTGAAAGTGGCGTTGAGTATGTTGCATTCACAGACCTATCTACTGTGCAGGAATTTGCCAATATTACCACCAAAAACAACTGAAAAAGTGTTAAAAAAAATTTGAAACGTGCGTGTGTTTTGGCATCCTATATGTCCAGAAGAGTAAGTTGCTATGGTTACGGAAAAATTATCCTTGCATAAACTACTTTTTAAGTATTTGTTTACGCACATAATTCTAGTTTTTGCAGAAGAGATCAGGTGCAAAATCTCTGTGACAGTACTTATGATTTTTTTGCTTTGATTGCATCGACAAAATCGACATATCTCAATTTCTTTTTCAACTTTTGCCCACTTTTCTGAAAATACCTACTTAACCTGCACACACAGCCACATGTTGGTATATAATCCCACTTGCAGGAAGTTAATAAACATCAGAGCTGCATATTTTACACGTTAAATGCACTCTGGGGGCCGATCACTTAGCCTGTGTGGACTTTAAACACAGTCCACGCTCTGCAACGCCACCCACTTCAAACTGCATGTGTGTGCATGAACAGCACATATCAGTTTGTGCACATGACCTAATCACTCGTGGAGAGGAAATGGCCCTGACATATGGGACGTGTAACACGGCTTTATGCAGCCGGTGAGCCACAGTTTCCAGCTTCAGGAGAGGGAAGCCCTCCATAAAGCTGTGAGTCGTGACTCTTGGAGCCAATTGGTCCCCACCGTGTCTGTTTTAGAGGCAGCTCTGTTAGCGCGCACTGGGAAGAGAGGCAGGATTACACTTGCAGAAACGCCAAAAACAATCCTGTCGGGTTGAGATATCTCACATTTGGGACGGTTTTCTTGTGACACATTTACGACACGCAAAGGTAGTCATGCACCCGATCTGAATGCGAAGTTATTGCCTGCTGAAAAGGTTGCACATGCAGGCTGCAGAGTGGGTGGTGAGGTGACTTGTAACGCTGATAGCCATGAAGCTGTTATGTCACCGGCTTTATGTGCAGCTCGGTGCAATTTATCCCTCTGAAATAATGTTCTTTCCTTCTGCGCGGATGTCTGTGCAAAAGTGCAGCTCTCCAACGATGGCGAGATAAAACATGACGGGAAAAATGGGGCGAATGCTTTATAGATTAATGTGCTCCCTAGATGCTTCTCCTGACTGAAAAAAGCTGGTCAGATAGACTGCTGTTACAAGGTTTGTTTTGCACTTCTAGGTCTCAGATGTTTCTTTGTGTCTGTCCTAAATAAGAAAAAAGTTCAGAAACGACTGACCAACGTTTACTTTTGCACCACAAAGTGCATTGGGAATACAGGGATGTAGTAAACCGTGTATATAAAGTGGCTAAAAGTGATTTAAACGCCGCGAGGGGAGCGGTGTATTTTGGGCATAGGAGCAGCTTCCTCTCAGTGGATTTGCTTTTATAAGCAGAAAGCGCCCTCGTGTCACTTTACAGGATTTATATCCAGTTCAGGACTTTTTTTTTTCAAGAGTGATAGGCAGCTTTTCCAGCCCTACTAGGGAACAAAGTACATTTTTCTTTCTATTTGGGCAAATGACATCATTCGAAAACCACCAGGGACCGAGATAAGACGTTGAATAAACAGTGATTACGGCCGACGGACGAATTCGCAGGAGAGAAGTCGACCTGTTTGCTTAGCAACTTACCGTTGCTGAACACACAAGCCATTAGGACAAAATGTCATTTTTCAACACCAATGTTCCTCTAGATAAAGTGGTTTTACTTTCCCTGCGTTTGGCTGTAAATCAGAGTCCTTGAAAAAGTACGAAAGATAACCAAAGTGTTTAATCAGCACTTTGAGCAGCCGGTATGTATCAAGGGCAAACTTTGTATCAACACAGTTAGACAGGAAAGTAATCCCAACCATGGGAGAGTACCCAGACCTGTAAGTGAAAATGGGTTTACAGAAAAGGGATTACAGTATCTGCCCAAAGTCCTTCTGCCTTAATTTCAACTTTATAAACATCTGAGGGGTTAGATTCACCAATTATTAACAGTTATAAAGGTTTCCTGTTTCCATGTGTTAAATAACCCCAAATTGAAAAAGCTCCTGTGAGTATTTTTAGCTGGTTTTGAATTCATCTTGTCAACTCTTTAGGGGCCAAAAAGTAAATTAAGACTATAACTGATGACATATAATTTTGTGTTGACGCAGGGTAGGCGACATATAAAGTGACACTATTAAAACAGTCTTGTTCACTGTATGGATTTATGTCGTTTAAATTACACAAAAGTTCAGGGAAATTCAGTAAAAAGTTTTAAAGTATCAGTTTATCCACAGGTGGGCTAACTTCAACATAAATCAACAGTTCCTTACATGAGCTTGAAGTAAAGTTTTCTTGCATAATTGAAAACTTATTCATAGAGTGATGAGATTTATCTGTGTGTATAGGACAGGCATTGCTTTGTCTACAGGGGGCGCCAAAATCAACATAAATAAAAGGTTCCTCACAGGGGCTTTAAGATGTAGATTAAAATCAGTCAACTCAACTCAAGTCCTCAAGACATATTTTCAAAGTAATTGCAACCACTGTGGGTTTACTTTCTTCTAAAAAGTTCAGAGTACAGTTTACTCGAAATCAAGTTCACAGCTAAGTTTATGAGAGTCATACCAGCACGTTTGCTTTATGAAATGTAACCACAACATAAAACATCCCCTAACCCACTCCGACCACACTAATGATGAAGTTTTATGCTTATCCTTATAATTTTTTATGAGGTTCTTATTTGGTCTGCATGTAATTGCACCACATGCTCCCAGTCACACGTGTCCCCTTTGAGCTTCCGCCCTTTAGCAGCTACTGAAAAAACAGATGACACACACTCCTCTGCGAAGACGTGACCCGCCCTACCACACTGACATCATGGCCCACGATCTGAGTTTACATGTGGAATCAGCGCTCCCTGAGAGTATTCTGTGTAAACTCTGAGGGATGGTAATTGCCCCAGAAAGCAGGGGGAATTCCTTTAAATGTATAAGGAAAAAAAAAACGGGAGGGTGGTTGGTGGTGGTTTTGGGTGAGGGGGGTGGAGGGTGGTAGTGGAGGAACCCCTTAATTAAAGGATTGTTCCATGCCAGTGGGCCATCTGTGTGGAAATGCCTGGCAGCTGCACACACGGCAGTCATAACATAGCTTCCCTTGGGGCTGAAGGCACTCCGGTCTGGTGATGTATGTATGTGCCAGACGCGCTGACCTCGACTGCAAACTTTTAGTAGTTTGGGCTGGTCCAGCGGCACATGTGCGATGTTCTTGGACATCATTTGAGTACTTAATCACCTGTTGTGGTTTTATATGTAGAAAAAAAGGCATACAAGTAGCTGTGGGAACATGAATGTCTCATTTTTCCCATTAAAATCTAAGTCCTACTTACCTATCCTCAAATTTCTGGAATTTTGAGAGCTATAATCTTTTAAAGTTTGCCCCCTTAAACTTTGCTTTTGTTATCGTGGTCAAAAACATCCTCATATGTCCGTTGCTGTAATGCTCGTCTAATCCATTTTTAGTGTTTAACATCAACAGTTTGGCTTTGTTCCAGTCTTTGCCCATTATTTCCCAAAGGGCTCAGAGAAAGCCATCTGGTACGCCCCTGTAATACTTAGGAAACTTTTTGAAATTCGCTGATTGTAAAACTCGAGGTTGGATATTTATAGCAGTAACTCAGGTTTTCAAACTGTTGGACAATTTGTTGGCAACAAGGGAATGAAAACAAATTACCGCAGGTATTCCAGGCTACCAGCTTGGGGAGGGTTTAATGCTTTTTAATGACGTGTTAAATTTTCCATGACATTAATTGTTTAGTTTTGCTGAGAAATGCAAGGAGAGTGTTTATGATGTGTCAGTGTTTGGAAAAGTGGGCCCAATGGGTAATGCCATGGGGGTGTAGTCTCTCGAGCACCTTTTATGGTTATTTCAAGCTTTATAAAGTAGAAACAACCTATATTTTAGGTTCACCAAAGATTTTAATGGGTGTTGCTGCAGGTTCAAGAAGAATCAAGTGGAACAACTATTTTTTCTGGATTGCTTGATGAGTAACGTTTTCCCTCTCCATTTTTCTACAGGTTGAAGCTGTTAATTGATCAAGAAAAGGCCTACCAAGAAAGAAAGGACGACGAGAGCAACAAGAAGATCTTCAGTCTGAAGGAGGAGCTGACTAAACTCAAGTCATTCGCGTTGATGGTCGTGGATGAACAGCAGCGTCTCACTGAACAGCTGAATCAACAAACAGCCAAGGTCCAGGAACTGAGTGCCAGCGCTTCCCAAGCCCAAGAGGAGCTGAGCTCAGCTAATGCTCGTCTGCAGGAAGAGGAGCAAAAGGTCTGTCGCTTGGAGGCTGAGCTGCGTGACCAAACGGGTCGATACCATCAGGAACAAGACACCATGACTGCCAAATTGACCACTGAGGATGCTCAAAACAGACAGCTGCGCCAGAAACTGTCGGCTCTCAGCAGGCAGCTTGATGAGCTGGAGGAGACGAACAAAACCCTGCGAAGAGCCGAAGAGGAACTGCAGGAGCTGAGAGACAAAATCAGCCGAGGCGAGTGTGGAAACTCGAGCCTCATGTCTGAACTTGAAGAGCTGCGGAAAAGGGTGCTTGAAATGGAAGGGAAGGATGAGGAGTTGATCAGGATGGAGGATCACTGCAGGGACCTCAACAAGAAACTAGAGAAAGAGGCCCATCAGAGCCGAAGCCTGAAGGCAGAGGTGGACAAACTCAACAACAGAATTATGGACTTAGAGAAGTTAGAGGATGCTTTCAGCAAAAGCAAACAAGAATGCAGCTCACTCAAGAGTAATCTGGAGAAGGAGAGGATGGTGTCAAAGGTCCTGACGAGTGAACTGGAAGTCTTGAAAACCAGGGTCAAAGAGCTGGAGACTGCTGAAAGCCAGCTGGGAAAGACAGAGCTGACACTGAAAGAAGATTTAACTAAGTTAAAGACTCTTACAGTCATGCTGGTGGATGAAAGGAAGACGATGGCGGAGAAGTTAAAGCAAATGGAGAACAAAGTCCAGAACAGCACCGGGAGACTTCAGGCGGAACAGGACAAAGTTACGTCAGTCACTGAGAAGCTGATCGAAGAAAGCAAGAAAGCTCTGAGGTCGAAGGCTGAGCTGGAGGAGAAAATGTGCAGCGCCACCAAAGAAAGGGACGACTTGAAGGCCAAGCTGAGGGCTGAAGAGGAAAAGAGCAACGATTTGGAGTCCAAGATCAATATGATGAAGAAACGGCTGCAGTCACTCGAGACGATTGAAAGAGAGCACCTGAGAAACAAAGCCAAAGAGGAGCACATCAAAACACCTATCGCTAACCGCTTCCAGCAGGAAGACAACAAAGTGAAAGACTTGACGCAGGAAGTTGAACGCCTTAGACGCAAATTAAAAGACATGAAGGTGGTGGAAGGTGACCTTTTGAAAACAGAGGAGTTTGAGTCACTGGAGAAAAGATTCAACAATGAGCAGGAGAAAGCAAAAGCCCTGATGGAGGAGCTTGAAATATCCAGGAAAGAACTTTCAAAGTACCAACTAGCAGAGAAGAAAGAGTGCAACCAAGAGCACGTTCTTTACAAACGTTTGAAGGACGAAGAGGCAAAGTCTAGTCACTTGAGCAGAGAGGTGGCAGCCCTGAAAGAGAAGATCCATGAATACATGGGAACAGAGGAGTCCATATGCCGCATGAAAAATGACCACTCAACTCTGCAAAGAAAACTGACGCAGCAGGAGGTCAGGAACAAAGAACTGGCCAGGGAGATGGAGACGCTCACAAGAGAGCTCGAGAGATACCGTCGCTTCAGCAAAAGCCTGCGCCCTGGCATGAACGGGAGACGCTTTTCAGACCTCCATGTTTCCACCAAGGAAGTTCAGACAGAGCCTCTTGATCTCATGTCCCCGAACTGCAAGACAATCGAACCGCTGGAACGTGCCGTGGTGAATGGGAAGCTGTACGACGAGAGCGAACCTGAAGATAACGCAAACTACAGCAACGAGCTCCAACTCGCCAAATGTAGCCCCTCGCTAATCAATAATGTTAATAACCTGAACAACAACTTGAGAAGAGCTCGAGTGCCGTTCCTGAAAAACAAAGACACACCCCATCAGGTGAATGGGAAAGTGCAACCACGGCAGAACGGTAACCACGTCCAGCCTGGGGATGTCGTGTTGACCCACAGTCCTGGGCAGCCTCTGCACATAAAAGTGACCCCTGACCACGGCCATAACACAGCAATGCTAGAGATCACCAGCCCGACCACAGAAAACACCCCGTCATTCACCAGCACTGCGGTCATACCCACAAGTGGCGGTCCGCCAAAACAGAGAATCACCATCATCCAGAACGCCTCCATGTCCCCGACTGCAAAATCCATCTCCCCAACAATGAAATCCAAAGGGTCCCCGATTTCTGATGATCTGTGTTCACCTGATAGGTCCCTTTCACCTTTCACCATGGCAACATACTCCAGAGCAATGACCCCAGACTCCTGTGGCTCTGTAACACCAGACAGAGCCATGTCGCCCATACAGATTGTGTCGGTCACAACAGGCACCCCAGATCGTTCCCTCTCCACCGAGCCGGTCGAAGTCGTCGGCGGGCACGCCGTCTTCCGTGTTTCCCCGGAAAGGCAAACTAGCTGGCAGGTCCAGAGGTCAAACAGCACCGGGCCCAATGTCATCACCACAGAGGACAACAAAATCCACATTCACTTAGGGAGCCCCTTCATTCAGAGCATCAGCACTCCGACACAAACACTGAGTCCATGCCACACGCCTGGACTCCAGGAGCAAAGAACTCAGGTGCTCGCAAATTGCAGTACCCCTTCTCCCAAAGGCAACAGCAAAATCACAAGTAGCATCATGATTAAGCCCACCACCACCCCAATCCAAAGGCCATCACAAATAACAGTAAGTAACGCCTATGACTGACCTGATAACACCCAAAACCCTCCATCCCATCCTTTGTTACTCAACCTGCCCATGAGACCCAGTGCCACCATAGATCCTTAGCCCCCCGACTCTATACCCTGATGCATCTACACGTCTGTTTTACTTAATTTATGTGCTTAAAACAGGGTTTGAATGTCTTCCTTTGATTTTGTTTGGTTTGCTTGGTTCTGTGTGATATCATTAAAAACCATTGTGTGCCTGCATGAGATAAAAAAAAAACATTTGAAGCACTAAAAATTCATTTTTTTTGACATAACACAAGGTCTTAACTTATGTGCACTTACTGTATTGTACTCAGTGGCTAATTTGCCGTGTAGTCAGATTATTCACACTGATGTATCGTACCAGTTTTTATACTTCATATTAAACATCTTGCATTATGATTTAAGTTGTTTTTGTTTTCTGGGGGTCAAAGTGTGCAGAAGGAAAGTGTTATGTTTATAGTTTGTCACCCATGCTCGCCAATTTCATTTATTCACTAAATCCTGCATGTTTTGATTGTGTAAGATTAAAAAGTAATCAAAGAAAAATGCAATCAGATTCAGATTTGATTTGATTTTTTTGGTGCATGCAAAGTAACTTCAAACAGTTCAGATGTTTGGATTTAAACAAAAAGACTGACAACACTTTGTTTGATCGAATTAAATAATACCCAAGTGGAGTCTGAAACCCTTTGTGCTCATACTTGACCAGATTACAAGAGGAAAAAACCTCTCACATGTACGCCTGTTTGAGTTTAAATCAGAGGCTGGTGTTGGAGTTTCTTTGTACATCCAGAGCGCAGCAGTGACCGAGAATGAAAACCAGCATGACGTCAACTTGGAGTTCTTTGGGATGATGCAATGGAAACTTAGCTTGAAACCTTTAAATCTCAGAGTGGTGCCCCACAAAGCTGCTGTTTGAGGTAGATCTATTCTAAGAAGACGTGGGTCTAATTCAGTGGATGACAAAAACATTCAGGACGGACTAAAAACTTTGCTATCTCTCTGCCTGTATGAACCAGAACTTTTAGAGGATGTTCAAAAGATAAGATCTTAAATTTTAAACCTAAAGTCTTCCCAAGTTACTTTACTTTGACAGCTTGAGCTACTGAAGTGAAGCACCAAAACTTATCGTCTACTAAAGAGGCGTAACTTAAATGTCCAAACATAAAAACTAGAAATCAAGAGAAAATTCCCCTTTATGAGCCTTTAATAGATCCCTGCACCCCTTTGAACCCACTTTAACAACCTAAAATTCCCTTCAGCGAACCCTGATACAATAACTGGCTCTTCAAGGCTCTAATATCTGCTGATGGCCTAACCTCAGAGCTCTTTCAGCAGCGAGCCTCACTTGGGTTGTAACCCAAAACGTCTGTTTTATTTTCTTTCTCTTATGAATCATGTCCTCTGAAATGACTCAACACTTATGTTTCTTCGTGTATACGCATTCTTGTACTTGCGGCTTTGTGCGCCCACGGTGGAAACCTTACCACAAACGTGCGATTTGTTTAAATAGAATCAGCATTATTCGTTTAGAGGATTATTTCCTCTATTGTGGTGTGATTATGAATTTTATGTCTTAAAAACAAAGCCAAATTACTCTGAAAGCCCTAGATCTTCAAATCAGGCTCATTCATAAAACTTGATTCGCTTAAAAACAACATTAATTTAAAATACCTGCACTTGTTTTTAACTTTTTAGCCAAAAATTTGCTAGATGTTCATTCAATTTTAAGAAATCAAGCAAAGCAAAGGCTGTGATATATATTTTTTTTCAAGCTACCACTGCGTTAGTGTAATTTCAGATGGATCAAGACAACTGCTGCAGGAAACAGGCGAAACAAACCCATCACGAACATCCAGCATCCACACAAACCCAGGGTGACATGCAGGAGACGATTAAATCAAGCATTAAATTGAATGAGTGTGAAGGAGCGCAGCTGGAGAAACCGGATCCGAATCAGTCTGAGCACGATGAGATGATGCAGGCCGAGGCTAAACAAGATGCTATTCATTAAAACCGCTGCTTGAGAAGGCATGCAGCAGCTGGGATTCGCCGTCTGCGACCTCACTTAACCCCCTGACTCAGACTCAGACTCGCTTGATTCATAAAGTACACTCATTAGCCAAGGGGAGGATCTGCGCACGGCATCCCTGCCAGACAGATAAAATGAGTATCAAGTGACACGCTGGAAGCCAGAGGGTTATCGCAATGAAAATCCTGCAGAGATGCTGGCTTCTGTGGGCTAAACCTGAGGCTGTAAACACACTTAATCACGATGATACAGTCGATAAACACCAGGGGAAACGAAGCCGGCAAAATAAGCCGGCAGGAAATGAGAAAAATATCCAATAAATGGTGACATTATTCAGAATCAGGCTCACGATAATCAGGGTTGCTGCACTTTTAAAAGACTCAAATAAAACACTTTTAGTGACACTTCCAATCCTCACATGCATTTAAAGATAAAAACAGTCGTGAACAGTGAAATAAGTTAACCTGGACAGGACTTGACGCTAACTTTTTTCACAGGGAGCACATGTGCTCCAAAGTTGAAAAGAAGGAGCACACAAAGAACTTTAGGGGCACAATGAAATTTGTCTTATTGGTCGACATATGTACGATTATTTGAAATCAATTTTAGGTCTTTTGGTCACATGACATGGAAGCCATTGAAGAAAATGTTCAAAATGTCCCTTTAAATTTAACACAAAAAGTTTATGAGGACAAATTAGAGAAATAAGGAGGTGTGTCTTATTGGTCGACATACGTATTATTATTTTAAATCAATTTTAGGGCAATTTGTCAAGTGACATGAAAGCTGTTGAAGGAAAACAGTCTTTCTGGGAACATCAACCGGTAATTTATTGATGGTCCCTTATTTAACACCCGAAGTTGACAGCGTGGGTGCCGAGTAGATTTAACCGCACTGCTGTTGCTATTCCCAGTTATGGAGACTGAGTAGGCACCGGTAGATCCGCAGCGAATGTTCGTCGAATATCCAACCTAAAACTAACTTCACCACGATGTTTACATTAAAAAATATTTGTTGCCTCGGCTAATTTTTTTGATGCACACATGTGCCCCTAAATACATTTTACAATTCGCATACATTTATTTTTGTCGTAAATGAAAGAAAAGAGGGGGTTAGCACGAGTCTGTATAAGCATGGCCCAGTCTATACCTACGCTAGGCTCAGGAATGGCGCTGGAAGTTCGAATAACAGATGGTGCTGCAGGGAGCTACACATGTGCATAAAAAGTACACATTTCTGAACACAATCAAAGTAGACACGCAGAGACTCCGTTGAAAAACACAGGTGTGACTTATAAAAAATTAGCTACGAAGTGTAAGTGTGAATCCTGCAGTTCCACATCCAAACACTAGAGGCCGCCTCTAAAAGCACTTGAAGCCGCCCTTTTTTTTAAAGAGTTTTAACAGCATAACACACAGGTTTTACACTTTATAGCTGTCAGCTAGTCACCCAAAGGCGACTTATAAGGGTGACTTATAAAAAATTAGCTACGAATTAAAATTGAGCGCAAACACACGTGTAAGTGTGAAACCTCCAGTTCCACATGCGACCGCTAGAGGCCGCCTCTAAACGCACATGAAGCCGACCTGTTTTCAAAGAGTTTAAACAGAGTTTCACACAGGTTTTACACTTTATAGCGGTCAGCCAGTCACCCAAATGCCCGCCTCAGCGCTTGCCAAAACGCTGAGTCAGCATTTCCAAAATGGCGAACCACCTCTAAAACCAAAGGGGTTGACGTCATTGAGACTACATCCCTGGTGGTGTCTCCATCTCCAGGCGAGAGCGGATTTCCTCTCACAGAGGAATTCGCTCACCTTGACCGACAGCCGCAGTAAAAACCGAAAGCAGACAATAAAACGCCGGCGGCGCGCTGGGGCTTTCTCTAAACAAAAGGCCCGTGAGTGTGAGAGCATAGTCACTTTAGAAGTAGCCTCTCTCCCACTGCAACACCAGCACCAAAACAAACCTCCTGTTTGGTTGCCGTAGGAACAGCAGCGCCTGTACTCCAGAGGAAGTACTTAGCTGAACTCCTGCTGCACCGCTGATATACGAGAGAACAAAGCCGCACATTAAGGCCTCTCTTCCATGTAAAATCAACAACACTCCCTTGACGTGAAGTCCCGCACAGATTTTCTGCACCATTAGCTCTCCTGAAGCGCAGGCACTACTTACTCTGAAATGAATACCCTGGTATGAATATTTAAGGACGGAGTTGACTGCAGATTTTGTCTTAATTCTTGAAAAACCCCAAAGCCGCACGAGAACACATCCAAGTGGTTTTTGTCTCAAGCGAGGGGTTTTGTGTTGCCTGGGAATCAAGTCAGAGAGTGTGTGATGAAACTGGTGGAAATAGTGGAGGAGTTTTCGGCTTCACTCAGCTGCTGAAATGTGGAACACATCGATGACACAGTTAGTCAAAGAGGTAGCTCCAGTTTCTGTCTGTCATTAACACGCCGGCCTTCGATTCTGCAGAGCTGCGAACTGCTTTTCTCTTTGTTACATTTGCATTTACTGATACCAGAAAAGCCGCAGTCATATTCATTAAACGGGTTATTCGAGGGGAGGAAGCGCTCTTTGCAAAAAATGTAATGACCTTCTCCAAATGTGCGAAAAAGGAAAGAGCCAGGCTGTGAAATGAAACCATGCGCCTAGATAACTTTGAAGAAAAATAATTGGCTGCTTCAGGGACCAAATCGCTTTCTGGCAGTAGTTAGCAGGCAAAGTGTGAGCATAAAAGGTCCAGAGAGACTCCCCGAATGTGACTTTAGACTCTTCTGGTGCAGAGATGAGTTTTGAAGTTTTGTCGTTTTCATGATTAATAGAGATGATTGAGGGAAGTGGACACGAGTGCATAACGAAAGGAAGATATCATGTACAGGGACAGGGGTTACGGTTACGGATGCTCTCCCTGGGTTTTGAATCTTCTACTTCTGAGCCGTGCTGTTGTAACACACGCAGATTTGTAGGTTTTGCATCTTTTTGCTGCAAAAAGTCACAACCTGGATGGCACAGCTTAAAAAACTTCTCCTCGTTGTATGTTCGTAACTCAATCCTGCTCGTAACTTCGCAGAAACGTGACTGTGAATGTCTCATTAGAGTCACTGTAAACAGGAGATGGTTTCTGCCGCACGCTGACTGATCTAAACTGATGTACCTCAGCGTCCCGGCGCGCTGCTGTGCCTGTAAACACGCTGATTAAAACCTTGATTGGACAGTAAGCGGAGCGGCACGTCGTTTAAGATGACTCCCTGTCTTCTAAGATGAGGAAATAAAAGCCAAAAGCCGGTTTCTAGGCGACAAACTAACAATGTTGTTCATAATGGGAAGGACTGGGGCTATATTGGGAGAAATGGGGAAGTAATTTTCGACCATTAGAGGAGGAAATAAATGGAAAACTATTAAAGAAAAGAAGTCGCAGGACTGCAACAGATGACTCCTTTCATTCTTGAGTTATGTTCAGATTATTCTCCCAATTAACATACAAATTAGCTGCCAAGAAAATGACAGAAAATGACCCAAACTGACATGAATTACTGGAGATGATTATTACAGAAAGTAATGACTGTGGTGGTCGAACGTCGATTAAAGCCAGAAGCTTCATTTGGACTTGGAACATGAGCGCAGATACAGAGTATTCATGGGATCTGGTTACTTTAGAGATGATTCCTGCAGGGATAAAAGACTGGCACTGTGTCCATATACTGTTCATAAAATATGATTTAATATCATCTAGTGGCCGTTATGAGTACTGCATGAATCATTTCCTGCCTCTCTTTCTGATTTTCTCTGCAAAAACAGTATTTCTGCTGTTTCTCAGACTTCTTTGTCTGTGTTTCTTCCCTCACAGATACCTCTAGAAGCATTCCGCCGACCAGGACCCACAAGAATCCCCAAACCGAAGGGCTACAGCTCCCAGAAAGCGACAAACGGCACGGCCTCAAACATAGGACTCCAGAATAAGAGCCAGACGAACTCAGCCGCAGCGCAGTCTGCAGCGCACAGCAACAACAACCCACATCTGATGAACCGCAGACTGTGATACCGTCACTTTAAATGAACTTAAGATCAAATCATGTGATAAGTCAGGGTAGAAGATGAAAATATCTCCTAAAGAGCATCAAAAAAACAGGAGAATTCAAACTCTGGAGCTTTATTCTTTCTAATCCTGCAAAGGAACTCTTCCTCTTTTACCTTACTCTCATCTGTGGTGCTGAAAACTAAAAAATGCAACAGGTTTTTGTATCGACGTGGACGTGAACACACTGTGTTAGCTGTAAATAAACGTGCAGAACACTTTAGAAAATAGAGTATTTCATATTTACTGTCAGAGAGGTGCAGACGTGTGAAGACGTCAGGAAGGTTAAAGTACAACACTGAGTTTGTAACGTGTTTTTGATGGTTAAAGAAGATGAATGTGTCTCTGTGTTGATCTTTGGTGAAATAAGTGATAGTTTGTTCATTTTAAGAGATGGAGAACTTTGGTATTTTTCAAAAAAAAGTGGCAATAATGTACATAAGTGTAAAAGTGATGTGATGTAAAGCAGCTCCTTCATAGTGATGATCTGTAAAATGTGATATTTGTGTTATTTTGGTTAACAATAAAGACTTTTTATACTTGGAATAAAAGCGTTTTTACACTTACTGAAAAATATGGAAGTTTGGAAATGAGGAAAACAAAAACATGTGATATTTAGGATTTATTTTGAAGGTGAAACTCGTGTATATTTATGTCTAAATGTGGATGATAATGGAATCACACAGGTGAGGGCCGCTACTAGATCATTTCAACTCGCGGAGTTTAGACAATACAGATAAAAACAGGACTGCAAACATCATGATAAACATTTTCTACATCCACTCTGACTGAAAGTTTAACTCACCGAATAAAAAAAATCAACAAAATTTGAGGAAAGTGTAAAAAAAAACATTAAAGCAGTTATAACTCTGAGCTGTATCTGGTTGGCAGTAAAAGTCAGGACCAAATCTGGATGAGCAACGTCGACGATTTGTTATTTTTTTCAGAGAAACTGATGAGTGGAGGTTTTGGAACCAGTGCTGCAGGAAACTAACCATATCTACCGTAATATTTGGTGTATAAGACCCACTTTTGAGGCCTTTTTCGCCGTCTAAGAAGTGAGCTGAATCTGTTACAACTGTGCAACTAAAACAGCAGAGTAAGGCTGGTGCAACTCCAGGCAGGTAGCCTTTAAAATATAGAAATTTCCAAAAGTTGAACTCACTTATTGTCTGAGAAAGAGCTACACAGTCGCACTAAAACCACACATTGTGGACTTGCACATGAAGACAGCTTTAAAGTAAATGTTTGATTTGAAATCTTTTGGTTTCTTTGGTCAAGTTTGTGTTTTTCATCGTTTTAAAGCCGTTTTTTTATCGTTTGTATTGCATGTTTTCAGACCAGATGTAAATTAGCTTTATAGCTGTGACTAACATTGTAGACTGTAACGGGTTTATTTTGTTTTGTTTACTGTAATTAATAAATCCCAACAGTGTAAAAAAGTTGTGTAAAATTTAAAAGTAAGCATGATAAAATTAAATGTTAGATGGAAGGTTGAACAATATGCAGATAATAAGGTAACTTCCATGTGTTTCAAAAATACAACAGCCTATTTACACATTTAAACACTACGACTAAAAGTTAAAGTGAGAGTAAAATCCACTCGAGTGTTTGTGGCGAAGAGGCGTGTTTCTGCTAAAGTTTGTGTCCCGTGGCGTCCTGACCTCCTCTTGTCTCGCCGCTGTATCGTCACAATAGCATCACTGATGTCCTCTCAGAGCCGACTTCATGGCTGAGCGCAGCACGGACAGGAAGTGCTCCCTCTCTTCAGCACCCTCCGCGGCACAAACCCACGAACGACACGGACCATCCAGGACGTAGGCGTGACTCACATCTGCAGAGAAACATGGATTATCCTGACGCTCTCAGACCAGGATAACACACTCAACACTGCCACCAATGTGTGTGTGTGTGTCAAACTCACAGCGTGTGTGTGTGATCTCTCGGACTGTCAGGCTGTTTAGAGCCACAGAGGCCAGGAAAGTGTGTGTGCTCCTGTGGGATATCGTGAACGGGGTGTGATGGACGTTTCGCCGTGTCAAGACTAGAGCGTCGTTAAAGAGGAAGAGGCCCACATCACAGACGTGCTCAAAGGTCCTAAAGAAGTAGATAAAATTGATAAAATCACTTCATTAGATACACAAGCTCAAAGTTAGGCTGTGGATCTGTCATTTAATACATGAGAGTTAGCAAGCATGGAGCTACGATGCAGCCATCCATCAGAGGAAATGTGCAGCAAATGTTAAAATATGCAACTTTACACACACATGCAAAAGTCTAAAACAAACGCAACATGCTGCAAAAAGCAGAAACAACCTCATCAATGAGCTGCATATACAGTAAAGAAATTAATAATAAAGGAGCACAGCTGCACGGCTCCTCTGAGGGTCATCCACGCCTGCAGGGGGCGCTCAGAGCAGAATTTATCATTCATCTGAGAGACTTAAAAGACCAGGATTTGCTGTGCTGACGAATCATGAATGTTTGCAGTATTTTCTTCATTGCTAGGGTGACCATACATCCTCTTTTACCCAGAAATATCCTCTTTTTGGGGGGCTGTCCGCTTTGTCCGTGGAAGTTTATGAAATCCTTCAAATGTCCACAGTTTTGTACATAAGTTTCGATTTTGTGTCATGTGGACCTACTGAGTTAGAAGCGCATAAAAGACACTCGATCCGACCCGCAAAAATCTCAAAACTAACTTTGTGCGACTCTGTGACTCCGCCCCGGCGTAGTCCTTCCTCTTTTTGGGAAGTCAGAATATGGTCCCCCTAGCAAGAAGGATTGTTGTGCATGAGCTGCAGCCTGCAACTGCTAACCAGGAGCTCATCAGCCAGTGTCCACATCAAAAACATCAATACTTTTATTGATATTACATCAAAGTGTGTGTTTTACCTGAGAGAGTCTGGAATCCGCTCATCAGGACTCTTGAGCAAAGCGGCGTCCTGAGTTATGATCAGCTGCCTGTTTCCTTCACTGAGGCTCTAAACACACAGAAAACTCACGACTGTATTCACGCTGCAACAGTTGAACACCAAAGCAGTCTGAGGTGATCTGAGAGGGAGCAGTTTTTACCGGACAGCCCTGGATCATCTGCTGCGTTTCCTCCAACAGCTTGTCCCTCTCGGAGTTGCGCTTCAACTATAAAATAAATCAAACCTCGTTAAATAAAAAATCTGCACAGTTCATGCTTTTAAAAAGTATTATGAGCGTCACCTTCTGAATGAATTCCCTGAATGTAAGCATGGAGTTGAGAGCTTTGGGGAGGTGTGCGTGATCGGGGTGTCCAGGTGGTGTGTGTACAGTCAGAGCCTGAAGCAGCGTGATGTACTCCTGTAGTCTCCACACAGGACAGAGTAGCAGCTCCTGCAGGCTTCACAAACACACACACACACACCTGTTTCACACTTCCGCGTTGATTCCAGTTGAGATATTTGAGTTTGTAAAGTTTCTGTTTTTACCTCAGCATGTGCGTCGCAAGAGTCCGGTCTGCTCTCTTCAGAAACGCCCTGAACAGAGGCTTCGTCTCCCTGCACTGACACGAAAAAACAACACATCAGCTTCAGGCGTCCTTCGCGCCGCACAAAAACACTGCTCCACCCTACCTTGTCGATGGCGTGTATGGCGGTGGTGTAGTTGTTCAGGTAGTTGGTGTAGACTCTCAGCCTCGAGCACAGCTTCACCAGCACGTCCCCGACACACTGCTCGGCCCCCCACTGCTGCAGCCTGGCCTCCAAATCCGCCTGAAACTCCCTGAAACAGACACGTCTTCACAGTCATGTCCACGCAGAAGGAAGAGAGAGCGAGTCATGGACGTGTTTGTGTGGTCGCATTCACCTGTTGAGCTCCAGGATCTGTGCGACGGGGCTGAGGACGATGTGGATGTCGGCAAAGCTGAGGATGGCTCTGTTGGAGTTGAGAGCTGCGGTGAGAGGCTCCTGGTACACCTGTAGAGTCAAAAAAGACAGGTGCACCTTTACGCTCAAGTAGAAGAACCCACTCTTCAGTCAGGCTGAGAAGAAAGGATCAAAACGAGATGAACAGTAGCTGTACCTTCAGCACCGCGCTCAAACGCCCAACATAAACACACTCACTGTGGTGCAGCTCTCTCACAGCCGCACCTCTCCAATCTAACGCCACCTACAGGCAGAGAAAGGAAGAAAAAACCTGAGCATGCTTCTCCAGCTCTGCTTGAGTTTGCAGGTTTAAAGTGCACACACACACACACACACACACACACACACACACACACACACACACACACCTGTGATAGCTCAGGTAAGGGACTGGACTCTTTCTTTGAATCCCACTCTTCCTGTTCAGAGCTTTTCTCCTCACTCCATCTCGTCAGGAAGTCGGCGAGGAACTCTAGCGGTCTGCTCTAGAGGTGTAAACAAAGAACATTTGATCTAGTGTCATTAGCTGCGTTTACATGGGCACAAATAATAGGAATAAATGCCTGATCGGAAATAAAAGTGCGTTATGTAAATGTCGATCGGAAGACTCTGATCCAACTCGGCTCAATCAGAAAGAAATTGTTTCCCGATTGAGAGGGGTGGTTTATGCCGATCGTTATTCCGAAACGCGTCCATGTAAACACTTATTCTGATCGAGATTCTGATGCTATTACGACACTATTCCGAAATGCATCTATGTTAACACTTACTTTGATTGAGAGGGGTGGTTTAAGCCGATCATTACTCCGAAACGCTTCCATGTAAACACTTATTCTGATCAAGAGGGGTGGTTTATGCTAATTGGTATTTCTAAACGAGTTCATGTACACACTTATTCTGATCATATACAGGAAATTTCATTATTAACACTCTATATAACATTATTAACACAACCGCAGGTTCCGTGTCTGCTCCTCCCGTAACATAACGAGGCGTACATACAGCGTCATGACGTCACATCTTTACGCACAGTGCAACCTTTGGCAAAACAGTAAAATAAATACGCAAGGGCGCCATCTAGTGACAGCATTTAACAGGGGGAAAACTCCTGAATTGGATGAAGTGAGCCACTACCGTGTTTGTTGGTTTGTTGACAGCGGAAGCGTAAATACAACTCTTCTTCTGCGGTTGTTTCAGTTAAATTCAGACAACTCTGCGAAAGTTCAAATGCTCGTCATGATTGGATTACTTAATTTTGCGCCCATATAAACAGTGAATTCAGATTTTCTGATCCCTTTAATTTTTAATCCGATCAAGAAATTTTGCACATGTAAACATGGCTATTTTTTCTCTTCTTTGGTAGCATGCATGAATAAAAAAGTGCCTGAAAGTAGCTCTCACCTCTTCCTGTGCTGTAAGAGCAGCAAACCCCTCCGTCAAAGCCTCCCTCAACTCTTCAGACACACACGGCTCCTCCAGGCGGATTTCCTCCCACAGAAAATGACCTATAAACACATCATCAGACCCCTCAGAAGGTTTACAGGACGCAGAGTATGCAGGCATCTGTTCAAACCTGCAACAGGTCCGGCTTCATGTTGTGTAAAACCCACCCAGAGCGCGGCCCCTGGCCTGCAGCCTGGCTCGCTGCAGCTGCGACCCCAGGCGGTCCCTCAGCTCCCCCAGAGCCTCCTCCATCCACTGGGCCTGTCTGCACCAGGCCTGCAGGACGCTCTCGCACACATAGAGCAGAGGCGGGCTGGTTTGGTGCTGGCTGGAGAGTCCAGGACACAGGCTACCATCGGACCAGTCGCTCAGGACTGGGACAAAGACAAGGAATACACTTTAATTATCTCATGCAGCAAAACGCCCAAATCCCTGGTTTACAAGATGATACACTCATATCTTAAGATGTTTGACTTACTGTTCTGGAAACTCCCAGTGGCGAGACCCATTGGAGCTCGAACCTCCAGACCGGTGAGTCTAGAAAGAGTCTTCATGAGAGTCAAACCTGGTGCTGAGGAGAAGAGAGGAGACGATTCAGACGGATAAAAAACAGAAAACTGTGTTTGTGTGAGTCTGATGTGTTTACAAACCTGACGCTGCAAGAGGGGAAAAGATGTCAATCCCTCCTCCTTCTTCTTTTGGAGCCACCCAGCCGGACAGTTTTTCCCAGAATTCCCTGTGGTCAGGGGTCAGGAGAGTCCTCTCTGATAGGCTACAACCTAGATTTTAAAAACATAAACTTCTTAAACTGAGATTTAAACACTTTTACCAGTTTGAGCGAGATTATTATCACAGGATTATTACTCTCACCATTCAGCAGATGGATTTCCTCCGTCCCTCCGGGCGCTAACAAGCCCAGCCTCTGAACTCCCTGCCCAGAAACGGCCCTCTCGGCCTGGGTTAACAAAGCTGAGAGAGTCCCCCTGTGGTCATACAGAACCACAATCACTCCAGCTTTTACTCCGCTCAGCAGCAGCTACAGGGAGGCAGAGAGAGAGGAAAAGAAACATGCCGTTTCCTTTTTTCATTTTTATTTTAATGTTTCTTTTTTTATCTCACTTCATATGCAGGGAGTCTGTTGGACATCAGCAGGACGAGGGATGGAGAAGGCCGGTGGACAGTGGAGACTGAGAGTGAAGCAGCAGGTCTGGATGTGAAGGAGGAAAGCGCTCTGCTGGCTTTGTTTACTCTCTCACTGAAAAAAAAAAAAAAAAGTCACATCACATTTGTTACAGAAAATACGGCCAAAAGGAAACAAAAATATGAGAAACAGAGGAGGACCTGGGACAGAACCCTGGGGAACACCACTAGTAATTGAAAATGGCTTGGATTGAAAGTTTAGAGTATTTAGCTGCTGTTTGGCCTCATTGATCTCAATGAAAGGTAGCGAGATGGAGTGATGGGGCAATGTTTTAAGAGCGCTGAATTAGCAATAAAGCTAACAGATTCATTAATATATGAGAGCAGAAAGGAAGGACATGTCGTGCCTTTTTTGTTCTTAGGTTTAGATCAAAATCTGGGAATCCCACCAATTACGAAATAAGCACCAGAGTTGAATTACAACTTCTCTAAAAGTACAACAAATAAAATCGTATGATCTGAAAAGCAGATCTTATAGTGCTGAGTGGGCAAACATAGATTATCACCTGACAGGAGTTGAGACCTGGACTCTCTCCAGGCTGAGAGATGAAGTCACTCGTCCTCCCCGGTCCAAGCTGAGAGCGAGGCTGGGAGACCCAACAGTATTCTGAGGCCAGGAGAGTGAAGGCCAAGAACTGAGTGTCAGACTAGAGCTGAGCCTCCCTGTTGGGGTACTTTTGGCTGTTTCTTGCCTCGTGTTGCTACCCCAGACTCTCCTGGTTCTCACAGATTCTCCTGCAAAGAAATCCAGATTTGAAGCACCACAAACCTGAAAAATGAGTCAGAAAAGAAAAGAGAGCTGCTGCTGCTACGTACTTTTCTCCGCCTGAAGTTTCTCTCTGATCATCTGCCTTATCCTCTTCTCCTTCCTCCTCTCCTCCTCCTCCTCTTTCTCCCCTGTGCACTGCTGGTTCAGAGTCCCATATAGCTCCGCCGCCTCTCTGGGGGTCAGCCAGTCCAGCGTGGAGACACAGGAAACATAGTGGTTCTTCCATGCTCCGAACTCTTTCTCTACAGGAGTGTAGGGAAGGAACCAGCCTCTCTTGATGCAGCGGTCGGCCCAGAGACAATCCTGGGAACGAAAAACCAGACATAACCTCCAACTTTCATCTGGACTAAAAAGTAAGGGTGTTAAAGTCACATTTCTGGGTCTCTCACCTGCTCTGCAAGGACTCTCCAGCTCCAGCTCACTTGGGCCGCAGAGCTGAGGTCCAGAGGCGACAGGTATGACATGACATAGAGGGACAAGAACCGAGGCAACACTGTGGTGAAGTCCAGTTGAGTCACAGGGACTGTCTCGATTAGTAAATCCCTGCAGAACCTCATTTCAGAAAAGAAAACAAGGCATTATAGAAAAATAGGGCACAAATTACACTTTCAAATCCAGAGAGGGTGCATCAGAGTCCTTACTTCAGCTGTGACTTGCTGCAGCGTGCAAGCAGAGAGTGTAACACCTGTTTCCTCTGCCGGTCGGTCCACAGATCAAACCAGTGCATCACCAGGTTCATCCTCTCCTCAAATAACTGGAAGGAAATAGAAAAAGCATGAGCTTGACGAGTTTTCCATTGACATTCAGCTGACTGGTTGACGTCTATGCAGCAGAAAAACTCAAATTTTACCTGGTGAATCTGTCTCAGTTTGAGTCAAACTGTGTCATTAGGCTGAATAGGACTCACATTAATCTGGCAGGTTCTCATCAACCTGTAAAACTTGTTTCAAGTGTTTTCAAACTTGTTTTTCCACTAAAACTCTTTGTTTGTTGTTTTTATTACAAAAGTAAATTTGGGAAAATATATTTTTGCTTTCAGCCTAACTGCCAAGTGTAAATAAGATAAGTGTAAATAAGATTTTAGCTCTTAAGAACATTTTAAGTTACATATTTATTAACTTGAACTACGTAAAATAACGTAAAATTACTTTTATTTCACAATTTATCACGACACCATTAAAGTTACATTACTTTTTCCTGTATTTAGCACTTGTCCCACCAGTTATTAATTAACACTATTTCAAATAATGATTAAAGTGGTTTTACAACATAATTTCTTTTGCATTCTAGCTGCCTTTGTTGAAAATTTTAGCATTCCGTTTTTAGCATTTAAGCTAACTGACGTTTCAGTGTAAGGTAACGCAACATGAGAGATGGTGTACAAAACCTATAAAAAAACAAAATTGATATATTCAACTTACTTGAATAATGCTAAAAGGTTAAATTTTTATAATTAAGAGTATTTTAAGTACCTATTTCAAGTTTTAATGACTTATTTTAGTGTTATATCACATTATTAAAAGGCTCCTCTAAAATGGTGCTACGACAATTTAGCCGTTGCCGCCATCTTGTGTTACAATAAAAAAACTTCAATCCCATTTAAATTAGTTACAATAAAAAAGTTCAAATGTCGCGAGATCTCACCTGTAGGTTATTCGTCCTATTGTTCAGAGGAGTCCAGGTGCTGAAGCGGGTTTCAGACCGCAGTTTGTGGACCTGCTGAGGCTCATAGTCCGTCCCGTTCAGTTGCCACCGTTTCACCGAGTGAAGGCTCGACTTCCGGCCTGTCTCCATGATCTCCTAAACTTCAACGATACTTATCCTCTCCTATTCAAAACCCTGATTCAGAGTCAGATTTAGCTTCCTACAGTCAGTACCAGGCTGCTGCCATTGTGCTGCTCAGCTCTGCTCCGGGTCACCTTAGAGACGCATCAACAAAGGATGAGCACATTCCTGCACACAGCTCATGAATAAGTTACAGCTTTGGTTCAAGGCTGCAAACATCAACACAAACAGGAGTATATCACACTTTTCAGTGAGTTTTCAAATCTAATTAATGCAGGAATTTTTAATCTGAAGGGACAAGAGTACACCATGTAAGCATGAGAGTGTAATTCCCCATAAAAAGTGACCAAAACGCCTAGTTTTTAAAGTTACTGTAAGGGATTTTTCACTCATTTCAAAACAGAATGAAATGAACCCTGTTGACTCTTAATGGACCGCTAAATTACATGACACCATAATCTTTTCTGTCAAGTGAGTACAAGGATATATCTTGTACTCACAAGATATCAACATCAGAGGACAAGATATTTGCATTGTTAAAACACAGCTTATCTCTAGTTGTTAGCATGACGAATAACATTGGTGTGATGTGAATGTAATAACAGTTTATAACACTATTATTTTTTTAAACAAGACAAGCTTTTTCGACAAGATAATTATATTGTGCCCACAAGATAACGTTCTTTTTTTGTATGCAAGATTATTTGTTCATTCAAGATAAGTACATAGTGGTAAGCGTAACTCCTGATTTTACAAAATAATAACTTGGTCCCACAAGATAACTGTATAATGTGAACATGATAACAGCTTGTAACAGGATCATTTTTCGTGTGCACAAGACATTTACCTTGTCAAAATATAACGTGTGCCCAAGATAATAAACTTGTATCACAACATGACATTCAAACAAGATAAGCTGTTTAAACAAGATATTTACTTTGTGCCCACAAGATAGCTTTCTTGTGCGCATAAAGTAACTGTATTTTGCACACAAGTTTATTTTGTACGCAAGATTGTTTGTTCATACAAGATAAGTTCACAGTGATAAGCGTACCTCCTGATCTTACAAGATAATAACTTGGTCTCACAAGATAACTGTATAATGTGAACATGATAACAGCTTGTAACAAGATTATTTTTTGTGTGCGCAAGATATTTTCCCTGTCAAAAGATGAGTGACCAAGATAATAAACTTGTATCACAACATAACATTCAAACAAGATGAGCTATTTCAACAAGACATTTAAATCGTGCCCACAAGATAACTTTCTCGTGTGCACAATGTAACTGTATTGTGCACACAAGTTTATTTTGTACGCAAGATCATTTGTTCATTCAAGATAAGTACACAGTGGGCACAATAATTTATCTTGAGCACACAAGATATTAACTTGGATGAATAATCTTAATCATTTTGTGGGAATAAATTTACATATTGTTTTTAACAGATAATAACTCGATCTGACAAAATAATTGTATGGTGCACAAGATAACAGTCTCTAGCAAGATGATGAATGCGCAGGATAAATGACATGTTTCAGCAAGATATGTACAAACAAGATCAGTTGTTCCAACAAGCAAGTTACATCTTGTGCTCTAAGTCAATATCGTGTGTGCACTACAAGACTTTATCTTGTGCGTAAACAATATTAACTTGAGTGCACAACATCAAATTTACTTTGTTGAATAACATACTTACTCAAGATAATGATGCACAATTTAAGTTACCAGATAACATGCAAACAAGATCAGTTGTTCTGACAAGATAGTTATATTGTGCGCACAAGTTAAGGGAGAAAAAAAGTGAACTTTTTGGACCTTTTGGTTTAATTGTTTGGGGGAAAAAAGATCCAAAAAGCTGCTGTGATGAGGAGTCCACTTGCATTAAAAAACAAAGCTGTTACATAACACACAGAGAGGACATGAAGCGGATTATAGTGAGTTCACTGTCGTCCAGATCCCCTCCCCCTGGCTCTTTAATTTTAGTCTCTTTTATAATAACACTCCTCTTTATAAAGACTAAAGCAGAATTCCAACAACACCTTTATTTAGTCAATAAAAACAAAATCACCGTACAGCTAAAACACATAAAAACACCCTCAATCCAGAAAAGGTTAAAATAAGAAGTGATAAAACACAGACGGGTTTACAATCAAAGCATCAGCAGCATCACATGATTCAATAATATCTTCGATCAAACAATCTGAACCTAAAAACATCATGAGCTACGTCTTAAAAGATTAAGAACGAATAAGGCAAAAATGTTAAAATCAAAGTTAAGGCATGGCTGTGATGTCAACGCTCGAACTATTCTTCTTCGTCTCCTCCGGTGACGACGTGCAGTGCGTGGAAATGTGCAAAAAAAGGTTCAACACTGAGCGAGGTGTTGGAGGTGATGTCTGGGGAAACCGTACACGAAGATCACAAACACGGCGCAGACAGTGCTGTGCTTTCAAATGTTGGTTTTTGGCTCATTTTAACACAATTTAATTGTTTTTTTTTTAAGCTCTAAGGTCGAGTTTAATTACTGTTTTTTATGTTTTGATCACTCAAGCTCAAAGTCTTTTGTTCGTGGTGTTACAGACATTGACGATATTTACAGCAAAGTGCAACAGAATGAGCTTATACTGAACATGTATCACTTTGGTTAGCTGCAAATCTAAGCCTTCTGGAGGTTAGTGGACAGACTTAAACTTGCTCAAACAGGCCATGAGAGTAACGCAACCACACCCTAATATACACCGACTGCTGTATCAGCCTCTTTATAGAACTTTAACTCTGTATAAACGTTTTATTTTAAAAGTATGATTAAAGCTATCTCTACTCAGGATCAATTTATACTGTCTCTGCACATCCCTCCCCCCGTGTGTGCGGACTGGGAACGCTGGTGAACACTTTTGCAGCTGTTTCTGCTTCAACTCCACCTTATTAATGGCAGCTCCTCCAGGTGGCGTAAAGAAAAACATTCAGGTGAGATGGGGTGGAGAGGAGGAGACGAGGTTCACATGCTGGCAGTCCTCGGGATTTCCTGGGAGTCGGCGAGATTCAGCTTCTGGCTGGAGGAGTGAAGCGGTCAAGGAAACACACCAGGAAGTTTAGGAACAAGAAGAGAGTTGGAGAGGCAGGAAACGCGACAGCGAAGTGGTTTTACTTTCACTTCAAAGGGACTAGTCAGGTGCAAATAAGACTTGACCCCAAAAAATTCAAACTGAAGGTTTCTCAGCTGTTTTTTTATAATATTAGATGTCCTTAGTAACATACTAAAAGTTGACCAAAGTTTGAAAGGTGTCATCTTCATTCATCTGTCATCTACCCTATTCACCTTAGGTGTCTCCCTGGGCTTCCAACCCATCATGGAAGCCATTGTGAAAATGACACCCTTCTAGCGGTCAAACTTTGGTAAACTTTAAGTATGTTCTTAAGGATTTGTTTTTTTTTTTTTCATAAATGCACCCGCCTAGACCTATAAAACCCTGTTTGATGAGAGTCAGGATGCAGTCCAGTCTAAGTCTTGCTGCTGTCCTAACTTGTCACTTATTGCTGAACTGTCCTAGTTTTTCTGACATATTTAAAATAAGCAAATATGAGCTTTACGGGTTTGTAATCTGGTTTTAAGGCGATGAAAGGATACATGGAGGTGCTCAGCTCCTCAAGCTGTGGAGAAAAAGCACATTTTGATCATATAAAACTCATGTTGCCGTGAGGCACCTTCAAGACTTTATCCTGTTATACACGTAACAAGTAGGTCCAGATTACTTTAACAGATTAAAACCAGGAGGGAGAATTAGGAGCTAAATCCTCGCATGGATGTGGAGCAGTTTCACCCCCTCAGTGAACAGCTCTATTATAAATGAGGAGAAAATTCAGAGTATTTGGGATTAACTCCAGGCTTACATTAAGCAGGAGTTTGTCCATGTTGGTGTCACAGGCCACCTTCCTCTGGTCCTCGGGCATCTCATCCACCTCTCCATAGAGGTCAAAGTGCAAACGGGCCAGCTTCTCCTGCATCTCCCTCACGTGCTCCATCTGGTCAATGGAGCATTCATTACCTGACAGAGAGAGCAAACAGAAACAGGTGTAATTTTCCTTTAAATACAGGGATCTTATCTCTTTTACCTCTATCTTATTTCGACTTATTGTCCTTTCAGCCTTTTTTTACTTGTAATCTTTTCTTTTTTAACCTTTTATTGATTGTATTGTTTTTTCCTACTCCTTTTTGTTATTTTATTTTATCATTACTGTGTGTATGCGCCATTTTATCAATATTATTTTTGGGGTTTTGTTTTGTTACTCGTACAATCACCACAAGAGGCACTTCAGGTAAATGCTACAAAGGGACGCAGGTAAAGCAGTGATCTGGGGAACAGGAAGAGCACACGGTTTCTACCGCTAATCTGCGACACCACTCTCACCATCGTTGTAAGTTGGACGTGTCTGTCTTTTTTTTGTTTGTTTTTCATTACATCAATAAATGGCAAAATATAACTCAACAACAACCTTGGATTGGTCTTTGGGTTGGACTAAAATTAAAATTCAGACAGCACAGATTTACTTCCATACATGACTTTGTACTTTGTTATTACTAGTACACGTGTTGATTATCTTTAACTCTTTTACGGCCCCATCTTTAGTTTTTAATCTTAACGTTCCTCTGTTATATTAGGTGAAGGAAAAGTTCATTCTGCGTGTTATTTTGATTGTTTTTTTCAAACTTTGTTAAATGATTTCAGGGCATGTGAAAGTGCTTTTTAAACATCTTGAACATATTTCAACAATACCGTGAGAATATTGATAACCGTGATCATTTTGATGTTAAATTTTCATATCATTACATCCGTAGTCTCCTCTATATTTAAAAATTACCAAATGCTTGTAGTTTCCCTGAGTGGAAGTCGTTGAGGAGACTCAGCAGACCCTTCTCCATCTCCTGGACATCTGAAACATCAGTCAGGAAGGAGTGCTGGATGATAGGAGCAGCCTGACCCTGGCTCTGGTTCTGGTTGGCTTTACTTGCAGAGCCCTGATGGCTCCTTGGTTTGTCTCTGACGCCCCTAAAACAGAGAAAACACACAAAATAGTCAGAAATAAGTGCTTGTAAGTGAGTCTAAACCTTGTCAATATTTCATATAAAATATATAAATGGTAAAATAGTTGTTAAAGGTGTGTTTTTTAACCTTCGGCTCTTGTTCTTCTGGCTGGAGTGAGTCCCCATGTTGTGGCTGTAGCCGACGTGCCGTCCCCCGGAGGAAGTGCTCGTCTTCCGGCCAGAGCCTCCAGTCGGAGCCGCTGTGTTGGTGGATGACCTGGGGCTCTTTCTCTTTAGCTTCCGCTCCTCCATAGCTTCATGTTACGGTGCTTTCCCGTTCGCACGTCCGGCTGACAGCAGACACAGCGAATAAAATAAAAACTGTCACTTTGAGCCGAACCTGAAAAACACTAAACTGGATATGTTAGCTTTCCTGTTAGCTCCTCTGCTAATCCTCACTCCGACTAGATAAAACACCAAAAATAAAAGCGGATCAGGACATCCAATCACAGCTGCTGCAGAGGGAGCCTTGTGTCGGCTGTCGCACTGTCAAATAGTCCACACCACCCTAGCATTTGTTTAAACATTAAAAAATACGCAAAGAGTTAGCTAGCTGTGTAAACTCCTGAAACTGCCTGTTTAGGTGGGAGGCAACTGACCTGACATTGGCCGCGTTCCATTTCTCTCTACCATCCCGACTACGCCGTGAACTCCGCTAAACTATTTAATCTCACAAAGCTCGTAGATAGACAAACCGTACTCTTGATTCTACAGAAGACATAAAGTTCTTTTTTAAAAGAAAAACTAAACGTAAAGCCATGATATTTCTCATCTAGTTCTGCTTAGTGTCCGATATGGGTTCCTGGAATACAAATTGGAACTCAGCCCTCTTCTCTAACTGGTAATATTGTAAATTCCTATCTAACCTATAAGTTTGATATTAAGGAGACCCGTAGAGGCCAAAAAGATGTCATTTTTATGTTTAAGGGATGTTCTGGCGTAAAATTGATTTAGGGTCAGACACATTGTAACACCGGGTCAGAAATCAGGCAAAGTTTAAAAGATGATTGGTGGCTAGTGCTATGGCCTGGACCCTATATGTCCTGTTGATGAAGTTAGGTGCTGTTCTGAGCATTATTTGTGGCTATAGAGTGGCGTTTTGGTTGAGGTTTGTTTATGGCTCCTCAGACTGCTGTTGATTGCTATCGTGCGGTCGTTACTAAAGTTGGTGTAGCTAGAGAGGCAAGCGGTCTGCAACATTTATCTCTCGAGGCGGTGTCTAACTCAGTGTTACAGTGTGTTTGACCCTAACTTTAGTTTATGCCGAAATATCCCTCTAAGTAAGTCTTCTATAAACTAGCTATTATCTTGTGCACACAAAATGACTTGTTCCCACACTGTTATTAAAATGAATAGTCACTTATTCCAACAAGATATGCATTTTTACCAAATCATTATATCTTTTATGAGCATGATGACTGACAATCTTGTTTGACATAACAGGTATAGCTTGGGATAACTGATGCACATATGATTCTAACTTATTTCTGCAGTGTAGTTGTGTTGCCCCATGGTTAGGGGCTTATATTGGAGATAAATAACTAAATTTAATATTGACATATCAGTGAAAGTTTAGTCATGACATTCTAATCTTGCTTAAAACTTTTTAAATCAGATTCTTCCACATATACTGGCTCCAATGAGACTGAGATAAAGTTGCAGATACTTACCACAAGGGGGCGTTAAGTGAACACCCAATAATGATCCCCGTCCCTCACTCTTCTTAAAAACTGAAGTGTTAAAAATTCATAAACAAACTGAAAAGAGACACGTTGTTCCCTTTAATTAACAGAGCGTGCTTTCATGGACACAAACTATTTAAAAAATGCATATTAATTAAATTCCACAACACTTTCTGAGCTTCAATTAGTGCACAACAAATATTTCTGAAACTGAATGAGCATTAAAGTCGCTGTGTTTTAGGGTCTCCGGGTGACACTTTTCAGTCACAAACTTAAATAGCTGGAAAAATAGTTGACTTCATTTATTTTTACTCATACAGAAGGGAAAAATCTCATTAATTTTCAGTGCCTGCAATGTAATCCTGAGCCTTGTTGCTGCAGATGAAGCATTAAAAAAATTCTCATCTTTGATTAAACGTTACATTTTAATTACAAAAGCTCTGACTTTTTATTAAGGTGCTACAAAGAGAAAAAAAATATCTCTAATAAGAATCTCATGTTTTTATGTTCCCCCTTAAAACTCGCGTTTCAGGGATTAAAAAATGAATTATACAGAGACGAAAAATGTGTTTTTTCTTTACATGAATAAATATTTTCTTATTGGCTGTTGCAATTGTTCAGTTTTCCCAACAATTCTTAATTTACATGAGTGATAACGACATTTTTGCCTCCTTTGCTGTTATAAATAGTGAAAAGTTCAGAAGTTGTTCAGAAATTTGCTGTCAACTATTCAATAATTAAGTTAGGACAATTTTTGTTAAAGTGAAAACAGCTATTTTAGGCAAAATGGACAAAAAAACTTATTAAAGTAAAAGATATTTGTGTTGAAGAACTGGAGGACGATTCAAACTGCTTTGTTTTTTTACAGTTCCTGAGGTCAATCAAGAATAAACGAGTGCTTCCTCTGCTATAAAGTGTCTATTTAGAAAAGACTATTTGCATTTTTAAACTCATAAATCTTCAGGTTTCCAAATTTGCTGCTCCTTAATAAACAAAACCAACGGGAATAACACAGCAAACAAGATCAGACAGCTTAATTTTTCTGTTTTTGTCTGTTTCTGATGCAAATAGGTTCATAAGAATTTTATTCTATTTGCCAAAATGAGTTTAAAATTATCTGCATGTACATATAGATAAATGGAGATCATCCCTCGCTGCTGACAGTGAAAATTGCTCCATTTGCTCCACATACAGACATGTGGCCTGCAGGTATGGCAACACCACTTGGACAAATCTCACGCAGAAGAACTTTAAAGTATTTAAGATGAGGTTTTGGAAAAAGTTGCGGGTAAGTAAGATCCACAGAAACTTTTCGTGAAACTACCTGCTGTGGAAAAAAAAAAACAGCCGAGTTTTTAGATTTCCCTCCATCCCTCTCTCCCTCGCTCTTTCTCTCTCCTCTTTTTTCCTCCTCTGTGAGCTAATATGTGTGTGAGTGTGTGTCGTTCTGCGTGACAGTGACAGAGTGAGGTGAACCAGGATAAAATGTTACAGATGAACACATTTAGACCGTCGCGTCCGCACAGCCATTACACACATACACACACAGATATCTCATCCGTAATTGCTGTGTAGGTGCTGTTTGGAGAGCGAGCTGCTAGTTACAGCCAGTTTATTCTTTCCTCATACGCGCTGCTGCTGCTTGAATTATGCATTGGATTGTAACTGAATGACAACTTGTGTTTAATTACACACCTGGTTTAGGGCTAATTCTAAGTTAGCTGCCTGCTCAGTGTGGCTTCATCCCAGCATCAGAAATCTCGGCGGATAAAGAAAACAAACGACGTAAATAAACCGGTGATAAATGCTCGTATATATCAGGATGGAGTTCTGCTTTCTCTGTGAGGTCTGACACACACTCATTGCTGTTTCTCATGAATCCACGAAGGCCACGCACATTGTTTCGATTTACCCGTGTGTGTTCGATACTATGGGTGCTCAGTGGACGACTGGAGTGTGTGTAAGCAGGCCTATTGGGAAATAGGGTTCAGCAGGAAGATATACAAGTGTGTGTTTTTGTTTAGCAGCTGTGACCCTGAGGAAGACGTGTTTTTATTTCTAGCACACAATTGTAGATTTAGAAATGAGCATATTAGGTTTGTGTCTTTCTCCGCCTGCTGTGTGAAGGACTCGGTTTTGCTTGTGTTGCTTGTCTTGTCCTTGTCCTACATCTGTCCTCCATGTGAGGTTAAGGAACGGGGACACGTGGTCAGAATCAATGTGGGACAAAAGAACCGAGCAAAATCGACCCTCACACCATCCCATCTATTTCTATCCATATTTGAGTGTCTCTTCAGTAATTAAAAACTAACATTTTTTTCTTTTTGATCATCTTTGTCACAATTTGTTTTTATCAAAACACATTTTACTTTTTTTAATTTAGCAGTTAATCCCTATAGTGTTGTTTGCAGATTCTGGGTAAATAAAAATCAGTTTAGACACATTTGATACTTTAAAATGCCACTGAAATATAGAATTATAATTAGGGGCTCTAACAGTGAACCCTGTGGGACGCCACACATGATGATAAAACAAAAAGAACAAACAAACAAAAATGTATCTGTTTTCAGCTTTTTCTGCTGCCTGTTGCTCAAAAAAGTCTGAAAGCTTACCAATAGTAAGTGGTTATTTGTTGATAAACAGAATTAACAATAAGGGGCTCCAACACTGAGCCCTGTGGGGCACCAGAGATCATTTTTAAATGCAAAGAACGAACAAAAATCACCTGATTTAAACTCATTTGCTGCCTGTAACTTATAGAAGTCTAATACTTTGATACTTTAACCCATAAAACGTAGTTATCAGCTGGTATATTGAATTAACAATAAGTGACCCCAACAGTGAACCCTGTGGGACGCCGCATCATGTGAAGTTTTAGCACAAAGAACAAACAAAAATTAACCTGATTTCAACTCAGCTGCTGCCTGTTACTTCAAGAAGTAAGAAGTTGATATTTTACCAATAAAAACTGGTTATCTGTTGATATTAAGAATTAACAATTAGGGGTCCCGGCAGTGAACCCTGGGGGACACCACACATAGCATTTCGTTGCGAAGAACAAATAGATTCACTGCTGCCTGTTCCTTAAAGAAGTCCAATTCTCAGAAACCTGATTTATAACATGTGGTAATCAAATTAGGGGCCCCAACAGTAAACCGTGTGGGATGCCACGTGTAATGTTTTAATGTATAAAAACAAACAAAAATCATCTTATTTCAACTTAACTGCCTTCTGTTATTTAAAAAAAAAAAGATACTCTGGTACTTGATCCATTATAAGTGGTTATCTGTTGATAAATAGAACTAAAAATTAGGGGCCCCAACAGTGAACCCTGTGGGACGCCATGCGTAATATTTTTATGCAAAGAACAAACAAAAATCACCTTATTTCACTTCAACTGCTGCCTGTTATTTAAAAAGGCCTTATACTCTGATACTTGAAACATATTAAGTGGTGCTCTGTTGATATATTGAATTAAAAATTAGGGGCCCCAACAGTGAACCCTGTGGGATGCCATGTGTAATGTTTTAATGTACAAAAACAAACAAAACTTACCTTATTTCATTTTAA